AGCACCAGTACCTCCAGCACCTCCAAATCCGGTACCACCAGCACCAGCACCTCGAGCTCCAGTAGCTCCAGCTCCAGCACGTCCAGCTCCGCCACCAGGGCTGCTTCACCGGACAGCCCACTCTCGAAGCCGCTCTGGCGAGAGAGTCTCCTGCTGACGTGCACCAGTACCTCCAGCACTAGCGCCTCTAGCACCACTAACTCCAGAAACACTAGCACTAGCACCTCCAGCTCCTGTACCTCCAGCACCTCCAGCTCCAGCACGTCCAGCTCCGCCACCGGGGCTGCCCCACCTGACAGCCCACTCGCGAAGCCACTCCGGCGAGAGATTCCCCTGTCGACGTGCACCAGTACTACCAGCACCTCCAACCGCGGTACCTCTAGCAGCAGCTCCTCCAGCACCTCCTGTACCCATAGGACACTCAGCACCCCCAGATCCAGCACCCCCAGAGCCGCACCCCCAGTGTCACCGCCTCCTGCATCACCAGAGTCCACAGCGACGGGTTGCAGAGGCGGTGAAGACGGTCGAGGCGGAAACCAAGGAGGGGCCGCCAAGCGCGCTGAGCGGCGAGGGGCCACGATGTCGGCAGCAGTCGGGTCACCCCTCTCAGCTGGGCCAGAGGTGTCGGAGGAGACCTCCAACGTCTCAACCAAGGGGGATGGGTCAACCTGGGACACACCTGAGGGAGCAGGACCCTGCGGGGGGACTGGGGTCGAGTAGGGGTCGGGTACCGGAAAGAGAGGCGGGAGGGGCACAGGGGAGCTGCAGTGGGGTGGAGACGGTAGTAGCAGACAGACTCGTCAAAGGTGACGTCTTGGGAGGAGAGGACACGACGAGAACCCAGGTGATAAAACTGCCAGGGCGTGGCGTCGGTGGGAAAGCCAAGGACGACGCAGCGAAGAGTGCGAGGAGAGAACTTGCCCGCTGGAAAATCGTGGACAAGAGCAAGGGAACCCCATACCCGAAACGCCGACGCATCACCAACCTCGCCCGTCCACCGCAGAGTAGGGGAGGTCTCCGGGTGGGAGACACGGGGCCAGAGGTTGAGCTTCTCAGCGGCGTATCGGACCACAAACGGCCACAGATAATGGGGAGCAGCCGCATGGACAAGGGAGGTGCGAGCAACCTCCATGACCAAGCCAATGCGACGCTCTGTAATCCCATTCCGTTGCGGAGAGGCTGGAAGCGTGAACGACTGGGTGATGCCCTCAGCACCACAGAAGTCCTCGACGAGGCGGGAGGAAAACTTACCACCTCGGTCAGAGTGAAGTCGCAGGACCGGGAGGTCCTGCCGGAACCGAGCGCTGAGCTGGCGACGGACAGCACGGATCCAGTGGCTCAACACACTGCGGACATCCGCCTTGCTCTGCAAGGGGAAGACCATAGTGTAGCGCGTGTAAACGTCGACAACCAGCAAAAAGTAGCGCTTTCCACCTTGTCCAGTGACGCGGGCTGGACCCCACACGTCCATGTGGAGGGTGTGCAGAGGAGCTGTGGTCGGAGGAAACGAGGAGGAGTGAGGAGCGGCGCGCTGCCGCCCCTTGATGCAGGGAAGGCACGGCGGCGCAAGCAACCTCGGGAGCGGGGGCAGGGACGTGGGGAGGCCACAGACAAGGAGACGGGAGTGCATGCTGCACAGACGCAGCTGGGAGGGGTGACCAAGACGGTGGTGCCAAAGCAGAGCCAAGTGCGTGAGTAGCCGACACGAACAAGACGCAGCGACCTCAACTGACGCAGCTACCTGACCTAACTCAGCCACCTGTGCATACTCAGTGGTCAGTGTGTACAGGCCAGACCTGGACCTCCGAGTGAAAGTGGCGAAGTGCTCGCCAGTGCGTGAGTCCGTACAGATCGCCACGAGCTCTCCCCTAGACTGGGTAACAGTGACCAACTGGTCCTGAAGGACAGCTGTAGCCACGAGGGGAGGTGGAGACATGTGAGGGAACCGGAGGGGCTATTGGACACGGGAGAACAGTAGAGCTACGTGCAACAACTGGGCCACCAGAGGGGTCGGCCAGAGTGATTGGGACAGGGGCTGTGAGTAGTGTGACTGTGGTGCAGTCGCGAAAGAAGCAGCGAGACGCGCTTGAGTCAAGTAGGAAAGTGTGCAAGGCCTCCTCAGGCACTGCACCTGTGCTAGCTGAGTCACAAGCACCTAGACTAGCAGCCTCTATACCACCAGGTGCCTATACACCCCCAGCACTAGTACCCCAAGCTCCGCCACCGGGGCTGCCCCACCGGACAACCCACTCACGAAGCTGCTGCGGCGAGAGGGTCTCCGGCGGACGCTGCTGCCGCTGCTCTCCACCCCTAGAACCTCCGTGGCCACTAGCGGCACCACCAGCAGGATTAGACGTACACGTACCTGCACTCGCCTGCTCGACCAGCTGCTATACATCCTCTAGCAACGGACGGCTCTGCCGCAGTGGTTGGGTGGAAGGAGAGAGTGAGGAGTAGTGCCTAACCACAGCGTCGTAGAAAGTGTGAGCCGACGTCACCTGACGAAAGTGGGTCCTCTGGTCGACAGGCAGGTGAGCGCGAACAGCAAGCTCTGCGACGGCATTGAGCTCCGTCCACTGTGTGCAGGTAACACAGTCCGCCCGGTACTGCTGCCGCACGGTCTCGCCAACGTCAGTAGCAGGCTCAACGGGAGTCGTGGGGGCCTGAAGGGACCCCGGCGTGTGCTCGAGCAGGGAGACACCATCTCTAAGGAAACGCCGGAGATACTGGTGCAGGCCAGTGAGCCAGAACTCGAACATGAAAGGGCACCCGTCGCCGTCAACCGTTAGGATAGTGAGAGTGGCCATGGCACGCAGTGGCAGTCGTAGTAGGAGTGGTGGTGTCAGTAGGACGAAAGCGTGCTAAGGGGGCTCGACGGGCTACTGGAGGGGCGCACTCCAGGGACGCGCCACGGGCAGAACACGGCCGCGTCCTAAGCTGCAGGGCGAACTGGCTGCAGGGCGCGTGAGCTGCAGGGCGGCGCGCCGGCTGCAGGGCAGGGCGGCGCGCGGGCAGCAGGGCAGGGCGGCGCGCGGGCTGCAGGGCAGGGCGACGCACGGGCTGCAGGGCAAAGCGGCGCGCGGGCTGCGGGGTAGGGCGGCGCGCAGGCTGCAGGGCAGGGCGACGCGCGGGCTGCATGACAGAGCGGCGCGCGGGCTGCAGGGCAGGGCGGCGCGCGGTCTGCAGGGCAGGGCGGCGCGCGGGCTGCAGGGCAGGGCAGCACGCGGGCTGCAGGGCAGGGCAGCGTGCAGGCAGGGCAGGGCGACGCACGGGCTGCAGGGCAGGGCGGCGCGCGGGCTGCAGGGCAGGGCAGCAAGCGGGCACTGTTCGGGCAGGGCAGTTCGGGCAGTGTGAAAAAATAACGGTGGGCCCTAACGGAGCGGACCTACGGAGGGACCTGGTCTGAATACCATGTCATAAATAACGGGCAAGAATGGTGGACTAGAAGCATGAGATGAGTGCAAGTACTAGGTCTAACCCTAAAGTGTTGTACTCAGTAGGGGTTACCACAGTTTGACAACCCCAACAAGAGACCCCATCTAACCCCCACCCCCCCCTCCCCCCCAACCCAACATCTACATCCGCATGTCCACCAAGTAGAGCGCATCCGCCCACGGAGCATCCCACCCGACATCCTCTTCAAAATCATCCCGCTCCACCCAAACAACGTCTGGGCCTCTCACCATCGACGCCGCGCGTAACAAGATCACACGCGCCTGAGCTCGCTGCAAAACCACCCCTAAGGCTGCTCTAAGTGACCCGAGTAGATACGCAGAAAAACCCTTTCCGTGGCCCTGCTTCTTGTGATGGGTTGCTATGTATGTATCTCTGCGATATTGTCCTGATAACCCTTCAAGGTTTCTCAAGTTGTAGGAACCTTCATGTGTCATGGAAAGAAACACCTTCAACTGACACAAAGGAGCAACGAGTGGAATGGGAATAGCTTGCATAACATGAGCGCTACGTTTGCAGGATGGCTGTGCTAAAGACATCCACAGAAAGAAGGTAAACCCTCATAGCACATCTATTTGAGAACACACCATCTTCTAGATAGCATGTAGATTTCGTTAAAAGGCTAAATGGCTAATCTAGATAAGCATGTATAAGAATTTTTTTGTCAGAAGTATTTTGCCACGGGTATTTAGGGTAATGGCGATGATGGGTTGTACGATGGGACAGGGCTGGGGAGGCCAAACGCAGCATTAGCCCATGAACGGAAAATCGCCCCGCGATTGGCTCGGCGCGCTGTCCGGCGCTCCCTGCGGGCCTCCTCGTCCTCACGCTCTGCGGGGGTCAGGCCCGCGTAATCGTCTTTCTCCACGTTCGCACCCGGAATGTTCGCCACGTTTTCGCCAGGTCGCATCAGGATGGTGGTGTCTTTGTTGCAGAGGAAATCAACCATGGCGAGACCCCTGAGAGGAAAAATGACAAGTCACCAGCACGATCAGTACAGCTGCAACATGTAGTTGCACCAAGACAGCTGAAGGATCGATAATTCAGTATGTTCCGCGGCGGAATTGAATTAGTCTTTTTCGAACCATGGGTCGTAACGCACCTGTTGTAGTCGTGGTAGCCGAACGCCTCGAGCATGCCGCGGGAGAAGGCCCAGATGACGTACGTCTCGCCGCTCAGGTTGATCGGAACCGTGCCGCCATCCCCGTTACTGCGGGAAAACCTGGGGAAACGAGAAGCAAATCGACATGAGACGTGCGAATTTGGAGACCGGCTACTGTAAGAAAGACAGCCCAATATCGGGTATAAGAGCACTCTGGTGAAAGCACTCACTTCAGAATTGTGGATCCAGAAGCAGAGGTGGTGACAGACGGGTTCGGGCCTAGCGAAAAGGTGTCGTTGACGAGCTCAGCCATCTTGTAACCATCAAGTCGGTACGCCTTGATCCCGGGCGTGTTACCAACAACGGCGTCGGCAGGCGCCATGGCGCCGTTGTTCGACCATCCAACGGAAATCCAGCTGTTTTCTGCACCGCTGAGGCGCTTCGCCTCGAAAGCCATCTGGAACACGGGGCCGGCCAGAACCTTCCAGTGCAGCAGAATCCTGCGGATGTCAAGAGGAATCACAGGAGATGGGAGGACGTACGGAAGCAAGCAAGCTGCATTACTAGGTTGCATTCACGTGCAAAAACAAGAAATAACATGTGCATCAGACTCGAGGGATTATAGGTCCTGGTGATGTTGAAGGCATTTATGAATTATGTTACTACACCATGAATAGTACGGATGTTACGGATGAATATTACGGATGCTTACTTTCCGTCGTAGAGATCCGCTTGGTGGTCGAACTCGCTTAGCGTCGACTGGGTGCACGACGACCCCACCGTCACATTCCCGCCCTGCGCCGGCACCGCCGGCACCGTTTGTTGCGCTGCCACGCCGCCGGCGCCATTGCAAGAGAAGTCAACTTTGAAAGAGCCACTGCGCGAAGGAAACGCAAACAGAAAGTCGAGATGAGCCGAAAGGAACACGGCAAGAATTGCGAATCAGATCGGTGCAAAACTGCAGCTGTTGGGGAGGACTTGGATATGGCGCGCGTACCGTCTCTTATCGCCGTGGAAGGCGAGCGGCTTGGTGTTGTCAGCGGAGAAAGCCCAGATGACGGTGACGTTGCCAGTCGTGGAGATGGGCGCGACGCCTTCCGTGGTGTTCCTCGAGAACCTGAAGGCGTCAACCAGACGGAAAACGTCAATGAACGTGCTGCTGAAAAAAACATTTACCGAAAAGCTTTTTTTGCTGCATTCACGGGTAAATTTCGGCAGCGAAGACGGCAAGGAAAAAGGGAAAGGGAGGAACGTTTGGTGCTCATTGCTCTGGGAGCGTGCTTACTTCATGATGAGGCTGCCGTTGGTCTTGGACAGTAGGCTCGCGTCGTCGCCGATCCACAGGTCATTGTTGACCTTGATAGAATCCTCGTCGTATCCCTTCATCGAGTAGGCTGCAATGGGCGCGTCTGGAAGGTTGCCGATGATTGCGTCAGCCTTCTTCATCTTGCCGTCCTTTGAGAACCCCACGGAGATCCATCCCAACGCCGCGCCGCTGCCGTGCTTTGCCTCGAACGCGATTTTGACGACCGTTGGGGAGACGACGGCCCAGTGCAGCACGTGGCCGTATTTGGTGATTTGATACGACGACGTGTAACCGTCCAAGTCCGACGGGTCACAGGTGGAATTTTGCGCGACGCCAGTTTCAGTGGCGTTGTTTGGAGTATCGGGAACAACCGTGCTCGTGTCGTTGCCCGGAGTGACGGGAAAAATCGGGGTCGTTCCGTTGTCTGGGGTATCGGGGAAATTCGGGGTCGTGCCGTTATCAGGAGTATCGGGAGAAACCGGGGTCGCGTTGTTGTCCGGAATATTGGGAGTAATCGGGATCCCCGAGCTGACCTGGTTGGGTTGCACGGTACCGGCATACGCGCTAGAGTCCGCCGCGCTTGTCTGCTGAACACCGGTCTTGGAGTCGTCGCCCGCGAGAGGGTTCCTGCCGCCCAGAGGGTCGTTGGGGTCGAACGACGGACCCGCGTTTGAGTGTGACGGGGCAGACGTTCCGAAAGGATCGTCAGTGAAGACGTCTTGAGGGGCCGACGCCGGGTTTGGAGTGGTGACGGGGTCGCTCGCCGCTGTAACAGGCTCGGGAGGCGAGATATTAGGCTCGGGGTCGTTGGGGCGGGGTGTGATGACAGCAACGGGAGTGACAGGTTCGTGATTGCCAATGAACTGGTTGTTGGATCCTCCGGGGCCGGCGAGACCGTCGCGAGGTCTCATTTCCGCAGCGTACGCCGCGGAGAGTAGCGTGGAAACCAATAGAAGAACAGGTAAGACGCCCATTGCGTGGCGAGCCATGTCTGGGTGCAGGCAGTGAGGATGCAAGAAGGAAGCTTGACGGAGAAAAAATGGCGTTCTGTAGGAGGCAAACTAACAACGTTCGGAGACGAGATCACAAGCTAAATTTAGATGCTTTAGACAATGTGGGCTGCGCGAATTTATATACAAGGATCGTGGAGAGTGGCCGATCTGTTAGATGTGTCAAGAAGCCTGGCACCTGCAAAACGCGACGCGGGGCGGACAAAAACGTCCAAATGCATCACACGCGTGGAATCTCCGACATTATCCTTTAGTGGGTGTCCTAGCTGAATTGCAAATGTCCGACATTACGCGACAAATTCAGGCAGCTCGAACCTTGCTCAGGCTACTCGAGCCTTTGTGCTTGTGATTGCTGCGCCGAAATTCGCACATTCACCCTTCGTGCCTCAGTCTCTTCCTTCTTGATAGGGACGCGACTTCGACGGCTTTTCGTGAAAGCACGATGGCATCGCGGCTCGGTCTTGGCACCTTAGCGTATCCCAGTGCAATATGTTGGCATTTCAGCAAGTACAGTGCAACTACTCTCAACCTACATGTAAATATATGTGTAATTACTGTATCTCACATGAGGGTATGCAATATGTGTAAGCCTGTCCACGTGCTCGTAAATCCATGCATCATATATCTCCGTTTGTACAAAAAACTTAATATGGTATTTATGACACGTGGGTATATATATGAAGTGTATGCATGTATGTGCATTTACCTGACTATACTCACCGAGACACTATTAAGTACAAGGTCACCTAAACATTGATATATGTGATGTGAAACCTGCAAACCCCACTGAGTAGGGTTGTTTTAAGTCCTGGTTCATTGCCGCTCACCAACAGGTTCAAGGAAAGGAAGCTTGCATTTCATTCAATGGGCCACCATGGCCGGCACAGGCACACATTTGGCAATGCACTATACAAGCAAGGCAAGGCATCACAACCATCTTTTGCACTGTGTATGATGAGACCACACAGCTCCAGAAGATGCATGTGGTCCGGCCGATCTAACCCATTCCCCTTCCCCAACCCCCTTCTACCACTACACTACTCAACTCAGCTCACCATATAAGGCCACCCTAGTCACAAGCTCTGCACTGTCGGATCAAATCCACCATTGGATCAAATCCACCTTTGGATCAAATCCATCTTTGGATAAAATCCATCCTGCCATGTCCAGGATCCGCATGGCGTGCAATTGCGCAGTGCACAGTGTTCAATGTCCAATGTAGACGCACTACTTGTGACCGCCAAACAGGGAGCCAAGCCAAGAGATGATCTGTGAGAAGGTAGGACCCGAAGGCCCTGTAAAGCCACCACCGCCATCGTTACCCTCCCCATTGTGAGCAGATGGGGCCTTGGCACAGGAGAAGTCCACTTTCATCCCACCTCTGTCGTGGAGCAAGTGGAAGATAAAGAGTGAGGGAGAGAGAGAGAGTGGTGAGATTAAGGGGAGGAAATCGGCACAAGACTGGGCTGTGAATTGGTGATGGAGGCTACGGGCTCATTGTCACTCCGTGGATTAAGGAAGTGGACAGGCAGTGCGCAGATTGAAGCGTTAGGAGGGTTAAGATTGCAAGTGAACAAGTAGAGAGGCAAACAAAGATGAAAACAGCGGTGCGAAGTGAACAAATCGATCAAGAGGTAGAGGCAGGGGGACTCGCACGTTGTCGCCGTGGAAGTCAAGGGTTTGGGAGTTGGAGTTCGAATGTGGTGACTTTTGAGTTGACTCAAAAGTCACCTCGTGAACACATCGAACCAGAGGTAGAGGCAGGGAGACTCACACGTTGTCGCCGTGGAAGTCAAGGGTTTGGGAGTTGGAGTTCGAATGTGGTGACTTTTGAGTTGACTCAAAAGTCACCTCGTGAACACATCGAACCGGCAGGGAGACTCACACGTTGTCGCCGTGGAAGTCAAGGGTTTGGGAGTTGGAGTTGGAGTGCGCCCATATGAGCGTCTTGAGACCACTCATCTTCACGGGAATCGCCCCCGTGTTGGCTGTGCGCGAGAACCTGATTGGTCGATGGTGAAAGAAATGACACACATTCGGTTACTTGAGTTCGAAATATGGGATGCATTAGAGAAACAGAGAGCAGGTGAGAAGGCGGGTGAAGCGTCGCAGATTTTGAAGGCATTAGTGCGCACCACAAATGATTTGTACTCACTGGATCACTGTAGACCCTGATGCTGATGTAACGGTGCCAGCATTGGCGCCAATGTCAAACGAGGCGCCTTGTAACGAGGACATGCTCTGGCCGGTGATGTGGTATGCACTGACGAGTCCCCCGGCCTTGTTGCCAATGACTGCGTCGGAGGGAGACATATCGCCGGTGTTGGACCAGCCGAGGCCGAACCAGCCGCTGCTGGCGCCGCTGCTGCTCTTGAGCTCCACGGCCATGTCCAGCTGCGTGGCGGACGCACGCTTCCAGTGCAGCAGCACTCTGAAAATCGGAAGAGAGGAGAGGGAGGGAGGAATGGGAGGGGAATGAGAACAAGCTGCAGAATAAGTGGCGCATGCAGCAGCAGCGATGGTAAAGAATGGTTAAAAGCTTTATTAACCAATACGGGGTGACGAGTCCCCCGACCTCTGCAAGCCTGTTTCTGCAATCGCGCCTACCCGGGTTTGATCTGCGCCTGGTAGGAGTAGCCGCAGAGGGTGGACGCAGGGCATTTGGTGCCGCTCACGCCCGTGTTGCCCGTGCACGTGCCTGCTCCGGTGCCCGAGCCTGATCCCGAGCCTGACCCCGAGCCTGACCCCGAACCACCCGTGCCGTCGCACGAGAAATCAACAGTGCTGGCTCCTCTGGAGGGTTGGAAACAGGCGGGGGCGACGGAGAAGGAAAAGAAGATGTTTGAGGAGTGAGAAATGACTCATCTACGAGGAAACGAGAGGAGAAGTGCGGAGAAGTGAGAAGAGAATCGGTGGGCAGGAGGTGCAAATCAGTGTAGGCCTGCAGCACAAAATAAGTGAGTACTAAAATCTAGAGACGCAATGGAAGCAATACGGAGTGGAAAGAAGGGCTCGGGAGCACGAGAGGCACCTGTGCGTGCCGCCATGGCTGGTGATAGTCTTCGAGCCGCTCATCGAGTACGCCCAAACGAGCTTGTTGCTTCCCGCCACGATCACCGGCACGAGACCTTTTCCCGCTGCGCGCGTGAACTTCACAATCGTGCTTGCGCCTGATGATGAAGTGACGCTCGTGCCGGTGATGGCGAAGCGTGTCGTGGTAACCACACTCGAATAGCTCGATATCGCGTACGTGCCGACGCCGCTGGCTGTCGCGAGGTTCCCGATGACGGCGTCGGAGTTGAACATGCCGCCGTTGCTCCACGCCACCGCGAACCAACCGCTTGCCGCGCCGCTCGTTGACGTGGCCTCGAGCGCGAGGTCGATCGTTGTCCCCGTTGACTTTTTCCAGTGCAGGATGAGCCTGGGGAAATAGAACGCGATCTGGAGGATTAACATGAGAAATTTAGCGTAAGAAGCGTAATGTACGTAGAATGCACGGGGTTGGATTCTTTCACTATGGGGGGGGGGGGGAGGGGGAGGGGGGGGAGGAGGGTTAGTGCACTTTTTCATGGGTTAGTGCCCCGCACTTACCCGTTGCCTGAAAGGTCCACGGAGCTCGTGTAACCCGCGAGAGTCGACGCCTGGCACGTGCCCGTGGCAGCAGTTGTCGCCAGAGGTTTCGTCGCGACGGCTGCACCGCCGCCGGCTGTAGCGGCAGCAGCGCTCCTGTGAAGAAGCTTGCGCAACGTTGTCATGCGCCACGAGTGGAGTCTGCTGGCGAGACCTTGGGAATTTCGGGCGGACGCCGTTGACAGATCGCCCGGGGCGGCGGCGGCGAAGCCGGCAAGGACCGCAGCGATGAGGAGGAACGTAATGTAAAGGCGCATCGTGATGAGCGCGATGCGCGCCGGTTCTTGCGCTCGCAGAGCTCGGGCTGGGGCCATGGAAACGGAGGAGGGTTGGCGTGTGTGAGAGTAGGTGGAGTGTGGTTGGGTGGGTGGGTTGAGCTGAGCGGGCGTCACGTAAATGCGGACGGAGTCTGCGATATGCGATAACCTTCTAACTGGTAGGATTTATAGGAGAACTGATAGGGCAGTCGAGGGATAGAACGAGCAGGCGCGGGGGTGGGAAGGGAACACGCCATGACCCGGAGTCGATAAGCGGCGGGGCGGCGATGGGCCGTGGAATGGTGGAATTAGAGTACGCTGATTGGATGGAAGGTGCGCATTGCCCCTTGCGCAACAGCGCGCCCCGAAACAACTGGTTGGGGGACGCCATTCGTCCGCCGCCGCATATCATTTGCGCGTCGCCGCGACACGTGCTTTCCCCAGCCCTGGGTGTGTGGTGGTCAGAATCAAGAAGGGGGTGGTCATGAATTCAGCACAAGCAAGAGAGAGCTTTGGTGCTTTCTGATTCGCCAAAGTATTTGACCTCTTCACCGACCACTGTCCTTCAGCGATAGCCTCCTCAAGAAGCGTGTTCGCGAGGTCGGTAGAGCTGTTTGCTTGGCGCGAGAAGTTTGACGACAAAGGGTAACTCTCTCTAGCGGAGTCGTCCTCAAATCAAGGCGGTTTCGCAATTCTCAACTTTGACGGAGCACATGCGTCCCGTAACCAGAGCAGGGTTCCCTGTGATACTGTAACTGAAAAGCTGTCGTGTGGATGGAATGGAAGGTGCGGAATGTTGACGGATAGATGTTGAGCGAGGTAGGTGGGAGGGAGACTCGAGGCCTGTTTCTGCGTTACAAGAACGCTTGCAGTTCACGATAACGTTTTCCAACATTTCATGTTAACCTAATGAAAAACATTGAACACTACCAGCCGTGTCTTGGTCATTTCTGAAAATAATTATTAGTCTAAATTGCACACATTGATACACTGCAAACTAAGATCATCTCTCAGTTCCTACAAATCAGAAATGCCTCTTGACAAGTATGACATGCAAAACAATTGGCCACTCACTATACACAGCAAGGCATGACATCACAACCATCTTTTGGGCTCTGTTTGATCATACCAATAGCACAGAACCCCAAAAGATGGCTGTGCTCCAGCCTGGCACTCCCTACCCTACCCACGTCTTTCCCTGTTAACATACATCCGAACTAACATTATCCAAACGGGCTAGAAGTAGTGTGCGATGTGTACATCTGCGACTTATTGAGCCCGAACAGTGATCCAGCTAGCCAAGTGATGAACTGATAGACCAAAGGCCCCACTGCTTTAAGGCCAGTCTCGGTAGACGGCGCAATGCCACAGGAAAAGTCCACGGAGATATGACCACTGTGATTGAAGAAGGGTGGGAGGGAGGGAGATAGAGAGGGGGAGAGGGGGAGGGAGGGGGAAGGGGGGGGGAAGGGGAAGAAACAAGAAAGAGAAGGTAGCAGATGAGTTGGGGCTGGTGTGTGCAGAGGGGGGTCTGTGGAAAAGGCACAAACTAGTTCAGCATGAGAAGTACCGAGAGATGGAAACAGAGGGTTCAGGAGAGAGATGCACCGGAAGGAAGGCAAAGGTTGATATTATGAGAGAGCAAGGGACATGCAAACAGGAGGCTGAGGAAGACTCACGCAGCAGTGAAGTGAAAGGCGAGGGTCTTGGAGTTGGTGGGTGAGTGCGCCCATATGATCCGATGTACGCCGCTCATCTTCACGGGAATAGACCCTGTGTCGGCCGTGCGCGAGAACCTGATTGGTCCACGGGGGTAAAAAAAAAACGGAAGGCTTTTATTTTTGCTGGTCCACAGAATGCCCAGGGGACACAGACAGCAGGTGGGGGAGTGGGTGGCAGTGGGGACAGACAAAATATTAGAATGGCGGATGGACAGAGAGGGAAGGTAGCTGACATGATGTCACGATCTTGCACCAAAGTGCAACCCACTCACTGGATCACTGTGGAACCTGTAGCAGATGTCACGGTCCCAGCGCTGCTGCCAATGTCAAACGAGCCGCCTTTTAACGAGGACATGGTGTAGCCGTCGATGTAGTACGGGCTGACGAGTCCCCCGTCCCTGTTGCCAATGACAGCATCGGCAGGAGCCATGCCTCCTCCAGAGGCCCAGCCGAGGGAGAACCAGCCGTTGCTGGCGCCGCTGCTGCTCTTGAGCTCCACTGCCATGTCCAGCTGCGTGGCGGACGCACGCTTCCAGTGCAGCAGCACTCTGGGGAGAGAAGGTGGAAGAAGGGGAGAAGTGGGGAGGGGAGGTGGAGGGAGGAAACAAGAAAATGGGATACATGTTTTGAACTCCATGGAGCTTCTTGGAGCAGAATGCTGGAGGGGCACAAGGGCAAGGAATAGGAGGGATAGAAGAGGGAATAGAAATCAAGGGTGCACTGCAGGGTTGGGGTGAAGTAGATCAAATCCGCAGGAAAGGTGACTTAAGTGGCCTTTGATTACAGGTGTCTGATGCTAGAACGTAGGGCTCTGCACGTGCATATTCGGGTTTGATTGCCTATGCACGCACATACCCCGGTTTGATCTGCGCCTGGTAGGAGTAGCCACAAAGGGTGGACGCAGGGCACGCCGTGCCGCTCACACCCGTGTTGCCCGTGCACGTGCCTGCCCCGGTGCCCGAGCCTGATCCCGAGCCTGACCCGGAGCCTGACCCAGAGGCTGTTCCGTCGCAAGAGAAGTCAACGGTCTTGGCTCCTCTGGAGGGTTGGAAAACAGACGAAGACGAGGGGAACGAAAAGTGACACATGATTGAAGGGTAAGTAATTTAAACGGTGGGCGGAAGGTACGTCTACAGCTGCAATAAAGTGACAGCCATTCAGAACTGAAGAGAGCGCGCGGCGGTAGTACCTGTGTGAGCCTCCATGGTTGGCGACTGTCTTTGAGCTACCAGACTCCGAGTAAGCCCACACGAGCTTGTTGCTCCCCGCCACCTTGACCGGCACGAGCCCGTTCCCCGACGCGCGCGTGAACTTCACAATCGTTTTTCCGCCCGACGTGGTAACGCTCGTGGCGGTGATGGCGAAGCGCGTTGTGGGAGCCACATTCGAGTAGCTCGATATCGCGTACGTGCCGACGCCACTGGCCGTCGCGAGGTTCCCGATGACGGCGTCGGAGTTGAACATGCCGCCGTTGGACCACGCCACCGCTATCCACCCGCTAGCCGCGCCGCTCGTTGACTTGGCCTCGAGCGCGAGGTCGATCGTTGACCCCGTTGACTTTTTCCAATGGAGGATGAGCCTGGATAAGCGACCCAAAGGAGTACAGGATGAGCTTTACCAAACAGCGACTCTTGAGAAAACCCAGGAATCTACATAAGAAAGTGAAGGCGACTCGAATTACGTGAGCAATTCAGGGTAGGACGACAAAGGTGATATATTTCAGTCTGGGATTCTTTGCTACTATCGAGGATAATTTCTCAAGCTCCGTTTTAGTACTCACCCTTTGCCTGAGAGGTCCACGGAGCTCGTGTAACCAGCGAGAGTCGACGCCTGACACGTGGACGTCGAGGCAGGGGTCGCCAATGGTTTCGCCGCTGCTCCGCTGCTGGCTGCAGTTGCGGCTCCGCCTGTAGTAGGAGCAGCGCCATTGGGAAGAATCTTGCGTAAGCTATTCAGGCGCCACAGGTGGCTGTTGGCGAGGCGGCCTTGGGAATGTAGGGCGGGCGGATTCGACCCATCGCCGGCGGAGCTCGCAGCGCCCGTCGCGGCCGCGGCGCTGTCAGAAACTATCGCGGCGACGAGGAGGAACGTAACGGAGAGGCGGAAGATCGTGATACGCGCCGGTTTGTTTGCTCTGGGTGCGGCCATGAGGACGGGGGCGAGTGTTGGCGCTGGAGTATTAGTAGGTGGAGTGGAGTTGGGTAGGGTATGCTGTGCTGAGCGAACGTCACACGGGAATGCGAACGGAGGTCGAGAGGGAATGGTGTGGTGCTAAGGGGCTGTGGCTGATACTTCAATCAGTTTCACCTTTGTAGGAAATTCTGAGAGAGCACTCAGGGAAACAAGAAGCAACTCGACTTATCACTCTGGACGTAACGCTCTGCACCGTATTTCAGCTCACCGAACCACAACAATAGGAAATACACCTTGTTCTCGCTAATTTCACACCCCCGAACCCCGAACCGCGCAAAAGTTTGCCTGGGAGGGTGTGAAATTATACGGGCAAAAAAAGTTCCCAATAATTTCACACACGAGGCGCGAATTTGTTGTGCTGACTGGGCTTCGAAATGCAGGAACAGTTGACGAACTGAGGACTTTGTGCTGACAAGGACTAGAATTGAAAATAGATGTTGACTGATTCTCCGAATTTCTAACCCCAATGAAAGATGAGCACGTCGAGCTGCTTATCTCAATTCGGACCAGTCAGAATCGACTAAAATCCCAGTCGAAACCAGGTTTCAGATAGCCCTCGTTCTTCACGGGTCCTCAGGCTAGTTACTGGAGTGCTTCTACCACACATTCATTTATTCGAGCTTTGTGAAATGAAACACAGAATGAAACTACGTTATTTACTACGAAATTAGACGCGACCTTGGTTGAACCCAGCAACCCCGTTCCACCCCACTCCTCGGAGTATAAAACGCCCTCATTCTCGCATTTCCATTCAGTGATGTTCAACCACGCTTCGCCAGCTTGGCAGCCCTAAGGCTTTGCCGAAGTAACAGAAGCGCGGTGTAAAATTAAGGGGTGTGAAATTATCGAGAACAAGGTGTACCGCATGCGCAGATCTTTCATGCGCTGGACTTTGGCCTGGTTCGGTTTGCACTCGGTGGTAGGGACTCTGGTCTGGAATAGGTGGTGTTGGTTAGGAAGGTGACTTGGGCGCCCCGCGTCAGACCACATCGGATACGTAGTGACGCGGCGTTGGGGCGTGGCTTGGAACGGTTGAATCAGATTTGGAGTGGTGGTTGTAATCGTCTGAAGGAGAGCCTGTCTCCTAATGCACATCGCGCCCCGAGACAACTGGCTCAATAAAGCCCACGCGCGCCGCTTTTTACAGACCAGGGCTGGTTTGGGTGTCAAACGCGTGGAAGGCTGGAAGCTGGCTAAATCCAGACCAGTCAACAACGTTTGTCGGCCTGACAGTGCAAAGAAAATCCCCAGGTTGAGGCTCGGCGAGAAAGTACCAATCACGCTAGAACTCCAGCTGGCACGGGAGGCAAACCGTGTGCAGGGTAGGGACAGTTCAGGCGTGAATAGAGCACAATCTCAATCGCTTCTGTGACGTCATTCAATAGAGTTACCTCGTCACCGACACCGACACTTGTGCTTGCGACGAGTTGTTTGAAAAACGCGTTCAGCAAAAAGGTTGACGACAGCAAGAGGTAGCTCTGTCTCGCGGGTTCGTTAACAAACCGACTGCATTTTACTCGCAATCTAACAGCCAACACAAATTGTGTATGTTTAATTTAAAAAGAAACAGACCCACACCAACAAAATCATGTTGAAGTCAGTGTAGTGACCCGTTCTTCAAAATATATTTAACACAGAAACCCCACTGTACATGAACCAAATCTTCACCCCATTTCCTGTTCTATGAATACAATATACATATGTGCATGTTTTGCTACATTCGTCAACGCAAACCACAACTGACACATGATTATCCTTGTGTATGTAGATGTGATGTATTTGGTTGTGTTATACCAGCCTGTAAGGAATCCTGCCAAATTGTTTCTGTAGAATTCACTCGAATTAATCAACTGATTTAAGTTAAATGACATGTTTACATATTTGCACCCATACCCCCCAAGGCGACACATGTAGTTTTTGGAGTGACCATACAAGACATTCCTGTAGTCTATGGTGGGTGTTGCTGTCAAGACAGCAGGCAGGAATGACTGCATTGAAATGATTGTGGGTACAAGTACTAACCCTAACATTGGGTTGTACCCCATACAGGCTACCCCATTATAGCCTACACAGAACTAACACATATATAGTTTGACACACCCCCATAGGCAAAGTGGGGGAGAACAAGGGGTCACAAGACCAGTCAAGAAGAGCGAAGCAAGCTAAGGGTGGATCACAACGTCACCACACACTCCGAGCACAAGCAAAGGGCCACAGGGCCAGTTCACATGCAGAGGTATATATGCAACAACAACAGTACAGTGATCACTACCTAGCAGGAGTAGGCATGCAGGTATACAATATAGATCACAGTACAAGCAAAGTCTACAGAAAGTGAGGAAACGTAGGCACCAGGCCTAGAGCAGTGCAGAAGCGCTGATGATCACCAGCCGGAAGGGCCTTGGTGAACATACCTGCCGTGTTTGCCCGGGTGGGCACGTGAGCGACACGAAGCTGACCATGCTGCTGCAACTCTCGAGCAAGGAAGTAACGCAGAGCGATGTGCTTCGTTCTGTGCTCCAGTCTGTGGTCCTGACATATGGCAATGGCAGCCTTGTTGTCGACGTACAGAACTGGAGGAGAACGAGGCCTCTCTCCCAAGTCGGTCAGCAGGTAGGTGAGCCAGCGTAACTCCCGTGCAGCCATGGCTGTGGCGTAGATGTCAGCCTCACAACTGGAACTGAGAACAGAAGACGAGCGAGTAGACCACCAAGAAACAGAGCCAGAGCCAAGGCTGAACGTGTAACCCTGTGACGACCGCTGCGTAGCCAGGTCGTCAACCCAAGAAGCGTCTGAGTGCCCAGTGAGGACAACTGAGCTCCGCCCTCCAAGCACGAGCCCCATGCCCGATGTACTGCACAAGTAGCGCAGTACCCTATTCGCAGTATCCATGTGCACCTTTCGGTGCCTACCAGGAGCCACTTAGCGAGCCACAAGGCCAAGAGGGTACGCAAGGTCAGGACAAGTGCATGTCATCAGGTACATGAGGCAGCCCACTAGCTCTGGGTACGGACCAGTCGGCTCTACGGACTCGTCCGAAGGTGGAGCTGAGAGCGAGTGACCTAAAGCCATGGAAGTGGACTGTGGCGAGGACCAAGTGAAGCCGAAGTGCTGAAAGACCTGGTGCACCATGTGTGACTGAATCAGTGTGATGGTGCGTCGTGCTCTGTCGCGGGTGATCTGCAGGCCAAGGTAGCTGCGCAGCTTACCCAGGTCTGTTCACGTGTGTCTCTTCTGCAGCTCCAACTTCACAAGGGCGAGAGCCTCAGTGTCAGCAGTGGCAAAGACCAAGTCGTTGACGTACACGAGGATGTAGAACGGCGGCAACGAAGTGTCGATGCGCAGAAACAGCGACGGGTCAGTAGTGGAAGGTGCAAACCCAAGAGCCGCAAGTGTCGTCCTCAGTGTGTCGTGCCACTCACGAGGCGCCTGATGGAGACCGTAGACCGGCCGGCGGAGGCTCCACTGGGTACCAGGAGGGAACGACCCAGTGAAGCCAGGTGGGCGGCGCAGCCAGATCTCCTCGTGCAGACTGCCCTGTAAGATTGCTGTGCTGAAGTCCGGAGAATGGACCTCGTATTCACGTTGAGCGGCAACGTGCAGCAGCACCCGAAGAGTGGTCATCTTCGGGGTGGGGGAGAAGGTCTGGAAGAAGTCAACTCCCTGTCGTTGACTGAAGCCTCGTGCAACGTAACGAGCCTTTAAGACAGGCGGAGAACACGGCGGCCGCTTCACTCTGAAAATCCACATGCCATCAACGATGTTCGCCCCAGGAGGGGGAACCTCATCGACGTAAGTGCCTGTGGACTTCCAGGATGCCATCTCTGCGTCCATGGCTGTCTGCCACTTAGAGGATAATTCACCCGCGATCGCCTCAGCGTAAGAGCGCGGGGTCGGGATGTCTGTCTCCCTTAGGGGCAAGCAGCATGGCCACGAGATGAGGCGCAGCGGCTGCAAGACATTCGAAGTCCTCCTGCCTGTCCTCAAGGTCGTCCGTGCCAAGAGCACACTCACCCCCGACGGACGGAGGAGAGACAGACTCAGACTCAGCAACAAGACTAGTAGCGAAGTCTAGACGACAGGCAGCAGCAAAGTCAACAAGCTCAGAGACTAAGGCAGACGCAGCAGCAGACTCAAACGACGGGTCAGTGACAACAGTGGCTAGCAGACGTGTGACAGTAGGGTGAGCAGCACGAACCAGGTCAGACTTAGGGTCCTGAACGTCAGGCAGAGAAGATGCAGGAGGAGACGGCAGGGGAACACGCTGTGGAATAGAGGAAGGACGAAGAGCCATAGTGTGCGTGCCGGGGGCAGGAGGAGGACGCTCACGAGGAACACGACGACCAGTGCAACCAGCGCGAACAGGCGAGGAAGGACGAGACGCAGGCTCACGACGCTCTGTAAGCAAATCTGTCTGCTCAGTGCAAGGAGAAGGAGCAGACAGTGGAGAGCCTGGCTGTAACGGGAGGCCAGTAGAAGACGGGAGGCTAAGAACCTGGCGAAGCACGGAGTCAGGTGGTGGTAGAGACGACGGTGACGGCGGAGGGAAGAACAGTCGCGGCTGTGCAGTACCACCAGCACCAGTACCACCAGCACCAGCACCTCCAGCAGCAGCAGAACCTCTAGCTCCAGCGCCTCTAGCTCCAGCGCCTCCAGCTCCAGTACCTCCAGCTCCAACGCCTCCATTTCCAGCGCCTCCAGCTCCAAAGCCCGCCGCACCACCAGTTCCGGCAGCTCCAGCACCTCCAGGACGAGCACCAGCAGCACCAGCTCCTCCAGCAGCTCCTGAACCTCCAGCCCCAGGGCCTCCAGCACCAACACCCCCAGAACCGGCACCTCCAGCTCCATGGTCTCCTACTCCAGGGTCGACAGGACCAGCTCCAGAGCCTCCAGCAGCAGCACCCCCAGAACCGGCACCTCCAGCTCCAGGGTCTCTAACTCCAGGGTCGACAGCACCAGCTCCAGGGCCTCCAGCTCCAGTGCCCCCAGCAGCAGCACCCCCAGAACCGGCACCTCCAGCTCCAGGGTCTCCAACTCCAGGGTCGACAGCACCAGCTCCAGGTCCCCCAGCTCCAGTGCCTCCAGCAGCAGTACCCCCTGATTCGGCACCTGCAGCCCCAAGGTCTCCAGCTCCAGCGCCTCCAGCTGCAGTGCCTCCACCTCCGGCAGCGCGACTCCAAAGGCGGGTGCACGAAGCATGCCACTCGCGCAGCTGCCGCGGCAAGAAAGGTGACCGCTGCAACGCGGCACCAGGAGGACCTCCAGCAGACTCAGCACCCATAGGCTCAGCACCAACAGACTCAGTACCCCCTGGGCCAGCACCTTGAGGGCCAGCACCTCCAGCTCCAGTGCCTCCAGCACCACGGACCCCGGCAGCTCGAGTGCCTCCGGTACGAGCACCTCCAGGACCCTCAGCGCCAGCACCCTTAGCGCCTCCATGACGAGCAGCTCCAGCAGCTCCAACCGCAACACCTCGAGCATTAGTACCTCCAGCACCAGCAGCACGACTCCTCAGGCGGGTACGACACGCCAGCCACTCTCGTAGCTGGTGTGGTGAGAGAGCCCCCCGTCGTGAAGAGAGACCCCCAGAATCAACACCCTCAGTCTCAGCACCCCCAGGCTCCGCACTCGTAGGCCCAGCACCCCCAAGCTCCGCACCCCCCAGCACCTCACGCACAGGCTCAGCACCCCCAGACGCAGTACCCCGAGTAGCACCACCCGCAGCAGTACTTGAGTCGCTAGTGACCTCTACAGGCTCAGCCAAGGGGAGTGGGTCTACCTGAGACACACCTGAAGGGGCAGGACCCTGAGGGGGGAGGGGGTCTACCTGAGGGGGACCTGGAGCGAGGAAAAGCGGCGGGGAGGGAGAGGGGCAGTGCGGTAGGGGAAGAGATGGTAGAAATAAACCGACTCGTCAAAGGTGACGTCCTGAGAGGGGAAGACACGGCGCGAGTTGGGGAGGTAAAACTGCCAGCCAGGCGCGTCAGGGACAAAGCCAAGGAAGACACAGGGAATGGTGCGGGAGGAGAGCTCGTCTGCGGACGTATCACGGACAAGGGCACGAGCACCCCAGACTCGGAAACGCGACGCATCGTCAACCTCCCCCATCCAACGCAGTGAGGGCGAGGTCCCTGGCAAGAAGACACGGGGCCAGAGATTGAGCTGCTGCGCGGCGTACCGGACCGCAAACAGCCACAGGAAATGGGGAGCTGCCGCATGGATCAAGGAGGTACGTGCGATCTCCATGACCAAGCCAATGCGGCGCTCAGCAACCCCATTTTGCTGCGGTGAGCCCGGAAGCGTGAACGACTGCTCGATGCCCTCCCCCTGACAGAAGGCCCGCAAGAGGTCGAAGGTGAACTCACCACCTCTGTCAGAGTGCAGACGCAGGACAGGAAGGTCCTGGCGATACCTGTGGCGGAGCTGGAGACAAACTGCTCGGATCCAAGGGATCAGGACAGCAAGGACCTCACCCTTGGTGCGCAAGGGGAAGACTGTGGTGTAACGCGAGTAGTCGTCGACAACCAGCAGAAAGTACCGCTCACCGCCCTGTCCACGAACGCGGGCTGGGCCCCACACGTCCAGGTGGAGGGTCTGCAGAGGAGCCTCTGTCGAGGGAAACAAGGAGGAGTGAGGAGCGGCGGGCTGCCGCCCCTCGACGCAAGGAAGGCAGGGCGACGCAGGGGACGCAGGGAGGGGAGGGAGAGACCGGGGAAGGCCAGACACAAGGAGGCGACGGTGCATGCCACGTAGACGTGGCAAGGAGGGGTGACCCAGATGGTGGTGCCGGAGAAGAGTCTGGTGCGACAGGGAGCGGCACTCACAAGGGGAGGCTATCTGACCTGACGCAGACACCTGACCAGTAGCAGCTACCTAGGGAGGCGCAGTCATCAGTGCGTAAAGACTCGACCCTGGCCGACGGGTAAACGTGGCCAGGTGGCGGCCGGTCCGGGAACACGTACAAATTGCCACATGCTGTCCTCCAGGGGTAAGGGCGGGTCCAGCGCGTACGTTTACAGGTACTATACAGTTCATCTGTCTTGGTTTGGAAAGATATCAGGCGGTGCACAGCGGTTTTGGAATTGCACCGTCTTGAACCGTGATGCAATACAGATTACCGCACTGAATGAACTGTAATGTACGGAAAACGTACGTGCTGGACCCGCCCTAAAGGTGTCAACCCACTGGTCCTGGAGAACCGCGTTGCTCACCAAGTTCGTAGAGAACGAGGGGAGGTGGAGGCCTGTCAGTGAGCTAGACGGAACCGCCGGGCACGGGAGCACAGTGGTGGACCGTGCCAGAACTGGGCCCCTGAGGGGTCAGCCAGAGACACTGCAACAGTTGCAGGAAGTGGCGTGAGTGCGGTACTGTTGCGAAAGAAACAACAGGAAGCACCTGAGTCAAGCGTGAAGGTGTGCAAGGCCTCAGCAGGCGTATTACTTGAGAGAGCAGACTCTCTAGCACCTAAGGCAGCAGCATCACTAGCTCCTAGAGCAGTAACCTCTATACCGGGGTCGTGCTGCACACACAGGTAACAGTCACCCTCAGCACCACCAGGCAAAGCATACATGGCAGTAAGGAAGGCGTCATAGTCTAAAGCAAAGCTTAGTCTAAAGCAGCTCAAGCCAGTGGGGGATCTCAGCATTGTCTCCAAACTCTGCGTGCCAGCCGTCACTCAAATAGGAGAAGCAGCGGGACTGTGCGTGATCAGGTGTCCCACAGGTCTGGCCAGCTCGACGACCTATGTGAATAACGTACGTGCAGCGACCAAGACTCGGAGACGTCCCACGCTGGTAAAGCCACTCACGAAGCTGCTGGGGCGTAAGGGTCGGACGTCGCTGTAGCTGCATCTGGCCACCGCCAAAAACTCCGCACCGAACAGCGCCACAGTGACTACTACTACGGTCGCCACCACTCCCACTGCTGCTGCGAAGTGAATTCATGGTGGGCAAGCTAGGAGGAGCGTGACATCTAGGGCAGGACTGAGTGAAGGCAGTAGCACGAGTAGCAGCAGCAGCAGCAGCAAGAGCAGCAGAGCGGATCGGCGAGGCTAGGCTGTAGCACCTCCAGTACTCCTAGCAGTACCTCCACCAGCAGCAGCAGCAGTAGTAGGGTGGATCAGGTGGTGCAGGGCGGCTCGTGCTGGGCGGCGCGACTCGGCCTGGGCGGCGCGGGCAGCAGGGCGCGCGCTGTGCAGGGCAGCAGGGCGCGACGCGCGGGCTGCAGCAGGGCGCGACGCGCGGGGCAGTAGGGCGCGACGCACGGGCTGTAGCAGGGCGCGACGTGCGGTGCAGCATGCTGCGATACGCTGGCTGCAGCAGATCGCGACGCGCGGGGCAGACGTAGGGCGCGACGCGCAAGGCAGCAGGGCGCGACGCGTAAGGCAGCAAGGCGCGACGTGCGGGCTGCAGCAGGGCGCGAGCTGCAGCAGGACGCGGGGCAGGGCAGGGCGCGCGCGGGGCAGCGCAACGCGGGGCAGGGCAGGGCGTGCGCGGGGCAGCACGACGCAAGGCAGGGCAGGGCGTGCGCGGAGCAGCGCGACGCAAGGCAGGGCATGGCGTGCGCGGGGCAGCGCAACGCAAGGCAGGGCAGGGCGTGCGCAGGGCAGCGCAGGGCAAGCCGTGGGGTAACGCGGTAACCGCAGTCGGACACTAGGTAATGGTGGGCCCGAAAAAAAAACGGTCCTACGGACCTACTGCTCTGAAACCATGTCAAGACAGCAAGCAGGAATGACTGCATTGAAAGGATTGTGGGTACAAGTACTAACACTAACATTGGGTTGTACCCCATACAGGCTACCCCACTATAGCCTACACACAACTAACACATATATAGTTCGACAGTTGCAAATAGTAAAGAATGAAGTGTTGCTGTGCACTCCTAACAAGTAGCAATCGAAGCATGCAGTACTGAAGCTGAAGACGAAAAGACATAAGTGACGTGAAGTGTCGTACGGTTACGAAGCATATGGACTGTCAGGGCAGATAGCATCAGGCAGCAGCAGTGGCGAGGATTCTGCCCAGACATTTTCGTAACCGTTTGAAGTCGCACGGTTGAATTTCGCTGTAATAAGGGAATGTACGCTTTAGAGTACATGGCTAGTCTAGGTCGTTTCGTATTCCATAATTATACCTTTGTATTTGCATGTTTTTATCATCTCAATCATTTTACATTCACTCTTAATTGAGGTCAAGGGCCCACCACTACCAATCAACTGTATGCGAACCTTCCTGGGGTGATCCTAGGGTCGAACAATTGATCGCAACAGTGGGTAAGCAGACCCATACCCCCCCAATACAACACATGTAGCCCTTGGAGAGACCATCACGGGCCATTTCAGTGTCCATTACCAACCGTTTCTTTGGAGGTCAGATTTTGTTTCACTTAAATGCGGGCGGTGGCTGCAGGGCGGCGCACGGGCAGCACCAGTGCATAGGCAGCGATGGCGCGCGGGGCAACGCGGGGCGCGCGTGGCAGCACGGAGGACAGCGCGAGGAGAGGCAGCAGCGCGTGGGGCAGCGGCGCTCGGGGCAGCGGCACGCGAGGCAGTGGCGCACGGAGCACCGGCGTGCAAGGCAACAGCGCGCGGGGCAGCGACTCATGCGCGGGGCAGAGCAGAGCGAGTGCAGGGCAGGGCGCATGCGTGCGGCAGCGCGGGGCGCACGAATTGCATCGCGTAAGGGGCAGCATGGGGCAGCGTGGAGCAGGGCGGGCTAGGGGTAGCGCGGTAGGAAAGGGCAACGCCCGCGCAAGGGCAACGGCAGTGGGTACGGACCTAGCCTAGCCTCTGATACCATGCTAGAAAGGTAAGCAGCTCCACTAGAAGGGAGGGGGGTACAAGTACAAACCCTAACACGTGTTGAGGGAGGTTCCTATTGTATGGACTAGGGATTCATATAGAGGTACATACCCAAAAGAAAAAAACAATGCTTGAAAGCCAGCTCTTTCTTTTGTTTCCATGGCAATATGAAGCCACTGATTTCTAACGGCCAGGTTTCAAGAGTAGGTACAATGGTAGGAGAAGGTGACGAGGATGAAGAATGTGGAGATGTGGTAGAAGACAATGGTGAGATGTACAGAAAAAATCTTCTATAAGAACTGACAGTTAGGATTTTTGTTGCCAACCCTGACTAAGCCGACCAGTTGTCACATGAACACTTGGAAAACGGACTTTCATTTCATAATGATGTTCTTTTTATCACTAGGTGGCAAGCAAAGCACATGTAAAGACTTCTAACCTCCAGACATAGTTCCAGGGCAGATCCACCAGCTGCCTAAAAGCCAGCATTTCTTAGACCCTTTGCTGTAGCATCAGCACAAGCGTCAGAAGCAGTAGTAACGTCAGCAGCACCACTGGCACCAGCGGCACCACCACCAGCAGGACCCACAGAAGCAGCACTAGCACCATCAGAATCAGTGGCACCCGCAGCAGCACCTCCAGGCGCCACCGACATCAAGCAGTGCCACTGGCAGCAGCACCACCACCAGCAGCACCAGCACTAGAAGCACTAGTACCAGCAGCTTCGGTGGCACCAGCACCATCAATAGCACCAGCACTACCACTAGCAGCAGCACCGGCACCAGCAGCACCTATACCACCAGAACCAGCAGCACCAGCAACTTTACTGGTGCCAGAACCACCCTTAGCACCAGCATTACCACCACTAGCAGCACTAGCACTGTCAGCACCAGCAGCGGCAGTACTAGCACTTGAAGCATCACTGACACCAGCACCATCAATTGCACCAGTGCCAGCAGCACTGACACCAACACCAGCAGTGCCAGCACCAGCAGCAGCAGCAGCAGCACCAGGCACACTTTGTTGTTGGCCCAACGGCTTCTGCTTAAACAGATGGTTTATGGGAAGATCGCTGTTGGAAGCAGTACCAGCCAGTGGGTTGGGGGAGCCATATGTGGTGGAGACGCCATTGCCACTGCTGGATGACTTGCCGCCCGATGCCATGACTAAACCCTTCGACTTGTGGTGGTGGTCATGATCATGATCATCGCCATCATCATCATCGTCATCATCATCGTCACCACCACCACCACCACCGCCGCCACCGCCGCCACCGGAGGGAGGCGGGTTGTCATAGTCCGAGTCATCCTCGTAGTCGGGCCCGCCACCCCAGAGGTACTGGGGCCTCCTGAAGCACGAGAAGTCCACTGCAAGGCCGCCCCTGATAGGGAGGGAGAGAGGAAGGTATGAGGGGGGTGGTTTGGTAACATGCATTGTTATCCTCGTAGTCGGGCCCGCCACCCCAGAGGTACCGGGGCTTCTTGTAGCACGAGAAGTCAACTGCAAGGCCGCCCCTGATTGGATGAGAGAGGGGGTGTGAGGTCTGGGAAGAGTGGGGGCGGATTGGGGATGTGCTATGATAGGGCCAAGGATCAGTGGTTTAAGGGTCAGAGGGAGGTAGGCCTACTTGACAGCCACGAGGTTACACATCAAGACAGCCCGTATAAGATGTGTCGTGTGCCATGGTAACGAGGTGACTTTTGAGTCGACTCAAAAGTCACCTCGTAGGCCTACTTGACAGCCACGAGGTCACACAGCAAGACAGCCCGTAAAAGGCAAGAGAGTGTAAGGTTGGACGAGAGTGCATGAGAGGGTGGAAGGTTGAATGAGCGTGCAGTGGGAGGGTGTGAGGGTGGGAGGAAACATGTGGCAGATGTGAGGGCAGATAGAGCAAAATGTTCTAAGTGTTACGGGGGCAATAGGGTGGCTTTTTTGTTACAGGGTAACAAGGCGCCAAGTGGTAACAAGGTAACAAACTGCTTCCTGGTCGCAGGGTAAAGTTCCTAGGTACAAGGTAACAAAGTTGTCTATTGGTGGAAGGGTAACAAGAGCACTTACTGGTGGTTGCCGTGAAAGGCGAGGGTTTTGGTGGCGGTGCTGCTGATGGCCCAGATGAGGTAGTTGGTGGCGTTGAGCTTGATTGGTACGGCCCCTGTGCCCACCTTCCTGGCGAAACTGAGAGAAAGAGAGGAAGATTTCAAGGAGTGGGGCGGAAAGGGGGGGTAGGAAACAAGATAACGTTGTTGGTGGCGTTGAGCTTGATTGGTACGGCCCCCGTACCCACTCTCCTGGCGAAACTGAGAGGGTGCGAGGAGTTTGAGCAAGTGTAAGAGAGTGTGAGGGAGTGTGAGGGAGGGTGATGGAATGTATGAGAGTGCAAGGGAGTGTCGTGAAGTGGGATGGGAAAGCCGGGAGGGAACGAGGAAAAGGAAGGCGAAACAAAAGACGCTGGTGAGAAAAACAGCAACTTAGATTAACTTAGCAGCACGTGATGCTATTGAAACATTGGCGAAAAAAAGGACAACGCAGTAGGGTAACGCATGGGGAAGTAGGGTAATACAGCGGAAGTAGAGTAGCATGTGGGGAAACAGGCCAAGTTTTCCATCACCCTTACATGATTGTTGTGCCGCCCTCAGATGTAGAAGAAACTGTAGGAGTCCCGATAGCAAATGAGCTCGTTTGCTTTACAAGCTTCTTACTATACCCACTCATGTGCACCGCAGCCACACCCGGCAGGTTCCCTATGACAGCATCTGAGCCCTTCATCTTGCCCTTTCTGCCCGACCATCCAACGGCCATCCAGCCATTTTTGGTTAGAGTGCCCTTGCGAGCCTCAAGGGCGAATCTGATGCGCGTCGTGGTGGCGAAGGTCCAGTGAAGGAGGATGCTGAGAGGGGGGACGGAAGGTGAGGGCATGGGGATGAGAAACATTATAGAGACAGGTTGACGCAAGAGTGCTGCTGCTGCAGACCTCAATGGGGAATTTGATGGGCTTCTTTGCTGGCGAGCGTCTATTGGAGGAAGAGTTTGTGGTGAATATTCAGTTGATGCTCTAATGGATGTTCTTGTGGTGAATTACAATGAGAGCCCAGAGAGAGTTTGGTGAGATTACAATGAGAGCCCAGAGAGAGTTTGGTGAGAGCTAAATGAGAGTTCAGTGAGAGTTTGGTGAGAGCTCAATGCGTTCAGTGAGAGTTCAGTGAACGTCCAGTGAGTGTTCAAGGGGAGTGTGTTGAGCGTCTAATCGGGAGTTTGCTGACAGGGAAGGGCTGAAGGTGTATGGAAGAAGAAGCTCAGTGGTGGCTACGCGGAAACGATTCTGTTAGCAGGTGCTTTAGAGAATTAAAAGGAAAAAGAAAAGGAACAAAACGGGAACACCATGGTGCACTACAGGGGAACCATAGAGATTACAACCCACCACACCGCCATTCGTTACTATCACAGCAGCTAGCCTCAGCAACAACATCACTCACCGCCACATTCACTACTAATACCAGCGTGGCGTTAGCAGAAGCAATCACTGGCACTACCACATCACTGGCAGAAGCAACAACATCACTCACAGCGGTCCGTTCAGCTCCACTTGATACGAGTACCCGGCAAGCGACGACGACGCACACGCAGCACCTCCAGGTGGGGCCGAGGGGGGAGGGGACGGCTTGGGTGAAGTAGATGGTGGGGGAGGTGGGGAGGCTCGACCCGCAGGTGGTGGGGGGGAGCGCGAGGTGCTTGGAGGGGGCGGGGATTTGGCGCTGGAAGGGGGTGGCGGTTTGGCGGAGGAAGGGGGTGGTGGCGGGGGGTTGGCGACAGCGGTGGCGTCACAGGAGTAGTCGATTGTGACGGTGCCGCGGTGGGCGGCATGGCCGTTGTCGAATAAGCCGGAGGGGCCGTCAGAGTAGGCCCAGATGGTCTTCATGGGGCCGTTCACGAACTTGATCTTGTTGCCCGTGCCCACCGTACGGGAGAAGCTGTGGGGGGTTTGTGGGGGATGGGAGAGGAGGATGGAGAGAGAGAGAGAGAGAGAGAGAGAGAGAGAGAGAGAGAGAGAGAGAGAGAGAGAGAGAGAGAGAGAGAGAGAGAGAGTGCGGGAGGAGGGGGTGGGCAGGGGGAGGGGATAGAATCAGGCCCAGATGGTCTTCATGGGGCCGTTCACGAATGTGACCTTGCTGCCCGTGCCCACCGTGCGGGAGAAGCTGCAGAAAGGGTGTGGGGGATGATTTTTTGAGAATTCTCAACGTATGTTTTTTTGAGAATTCTCAGAGAATTCTAAAAAAACAGATAGGGTGTGGGGGATGATGGAGGAGGGGGGTCGGGATGAGGGAGGGAGAGAGAATTGCGCCGTCAGACCCAGATGGTCTCCATGCGGCGTCCGTGCTTGTTGTGCAGGAGAAGCTGTGATTTGAGTGGCAGGGGAGAAAGCAGGGGGGAGGCGGAGGAGGAGGGGGAGGGTAGGAGAGGTGTTCAAGAAGGTGACCTTTGGTGCCCGTGTCACCGTGTGGGAACACTTGCGGGTTTGAGAGAGTGTAAGCGTGGAGTGTGAGGGTAAGGGGGTGTGGACGCAAGGGAGTGTGGAGTGCAGTGTGGCATGAGGTTATAAAGTGAACAAAAGAATATACATCTGGCATCGATATGAATACATCTGGATAAAAAAGGGGTGACGGTGTGTGGATGAGAGGGGGAACACTACCAGCAATAAGTGATAAAGGGTGCGAATGCTTGTCTCAGTGAGGTGGGAGATAAGAAGTGGCTAAGCATGATTCATGAAGTATGGAAGGGGAAACAACAACAGAGGGTATGTGCGATACCACAAGAGAAAGAAGAATATGAAGAAGAAAAAAATTGTACGCGTTGAGATCAACATGAGAAAAAAGTTGTTATAAAAACACAGCAGCCTGGAAACACAAACGTACGTGGCAACGCCGCCAGTGTAGGTAGGGGTACCCAGCGGGACGGAAGCAAACGGGATGATGGCGGTCGACGTGTCGCCCGCTAGAGTGTAGGCGTCAATGGGCTCGTAGGTTGCGCTGTTAGCGATAACGGCATCTGCGGGATACATCCCGCCTGTCGTTGGCCAGCCGACGCCGAACCAACCACCGGAGACGGATGTTGATGTGGCTTCCAGGGCCATGTTCACTGTGGTTCCTGCTGTGGTGGCTTTTGTGGCCTTCCAGTGCAGAATCATCCTGCCGCGTTGGGGGGAATGAGGGAGGGCGGAAAGGAGGGAAAGAGATAAGGGTTGGGGACAGAGCGAAGATGTGAGTTACTACCATGTCTGTTTGTGGCCTTTCAGTGAAGAATCAGCCTGCTGTGTTGGGGAGGATGGGGGATTGCGGAAAGGAGGGAAAGAGAGAAGGGATGGGGACTGAGAGAAGATGTGGGTTACTACCATGCCTGTTTGTGGCCTTTCAGTGAAGAGTCAGCGTGCCGTGTTGGGGAGGATGGGGGAGGGCGGAAAGGAGGGAAAGAGAGAAGGGATGGGGACTGCGCGAAGATGTGGGTTACTACCATGCCTGTTTGTGGCCTTTCAGTGAAGAATCAGCCTGCTGTGTTGGGGGGAGTGGGGGAGTGCGGAAAGGAGGGAAGGAGAGGTGTAATGGGAACTCAGCTAAGATGTGAGTTAGTACCATGCCTGTTTGTGGCCTTTCATTGAAAAATCGTCCTGTTGTGTCAGGGAAGAAGCAGAAATGAGCATTTGCAGAAGTGCAATGTACATCTGTGAGCAGAAATTCTCACGCGTAGAGAGCTCAAAAACACCCTAGTATCTACACGAAGTGCTATGTACATCTGCAATGTACAACTGCTGCTCACGGTGAGAAGCAATTGTATCCAGAACTTCCTGCCATGAAGTTACTTATTAATATTTGTGTATGTATTCAGGAACTTTCTCAAGACGTTTCCTGGAGCTCGATCGATAACTCATTGTAAAACATGCTGTATACTGTTAAATGTCGCGGTTAGTACATTTTTCTTGGGTTCTGTTTGCGAGACCTGCCAGGTTTTTTTCCAAAATGTCACACTAGTAGTGTGCGGGGAATATTAGAAGTTGGCGTTGTGTTTCAAGACCCTTTTTCACCCCCCTGCCATTCGCTGGAAGATTTTAGTAAAATCCTCCAGCGATTTTTTCTTTTGACGAGTCGTCAATATTTTCTCTTTTCATTTCTTTCCTTTTTTTACCCGGGAGCGAGCGTTTTGGATGACGTAAAGCCACTTCGGCTCGACGTGCTGCACGCTGCAGCTCCCCCGCGCCGCTTCGTCCCGGGAATTACGGCCGGTCGCAGGCTTTGCGCACCATTAAAGAAAAAACGTCTGAAGGAGCTAGGAAGGCGAAAGAACGAGGCAATGGAGTGACTCGGAGGTGGCGGCGGCGGAGCAGGTGCGGCGGCAAAGGCGGTGGTAGGGGCGGCGTAGTGTGTGACTGTAACGAGCAGTGCGAGCTGAAGAGCGAGGAGCTGACAATGACTCGCCATGGATGTGGAAGCGCCAGAGGAAGATGGAAGAGCAAGTCACACAAACAGCTGTCTGCAGCAGTCACGGCGCAGCACTGGAACCCTGGGTGCTAATTTGGAGAATTGCTGAAATTGCTGCTCCTCCCTGCCCTGTTTGACATTGAGCCAGATTGAACTGGTGCTGGGGTGAAATTGCGCTTCGTTCATCTTCCTTCGGGCACTCTGCAGATGCCAGTGCATTGAGATTGCGTAACACATTTACCCGGCTTTTACAGTGTGCTACCCGGCATTTTGAGCGCGCAACTCGGCACTTACTGTAACAGTGTTGACTTTACCAACTTTTCATCGATTTCTGGTCTGGTGTCGATTTCAGTGCATTCCAGGCACTAGTCAAACCTTTAGTTTCCCGTGTTTGACCAGAGCCCTCTGATCAGCGATGCGTTCCGAGGGGAAGTTTCATTGCTCGGTAAATTTTGGGGTCAGTTGCAAGACCCAGTTGCGCCTCCATCCACACCACCCCATCTTCCCCCTCCCGTTCCCTCCAGACAACCCCCCCCCCCCCCCACCTCACCCGCCAATTTTCGTCCCTCTGACATCGCACTCCGACTCCCCACCAGTACCGGTCCTAAAACCAACACCTCCCGGTTACATTTTGTTTTTCAAGACACAAATGCTCCCATAATGCCAGCTGGAGAAAAATCTCACGAGCTCGCTGGTCAGCAAGCGTCTCAGAAAAACGGAAGCGGCATCGAGTGCGTCAAATAGCGCGTACTCTTTACTGGCACTGAGCAACACCTAAGTTGCATTGGTTGGAACTAACTGTCAGAAGTTATGGACAAAAGTTACAAATTCTGGAATAACATATTTATGAGTGGGCTTTTTATTATGGGGATTGCCTGATTCTGAGAAAAAAAAAAATCTGGATCACAGTAAAACTATACTTTATTAGACCCGGATTGTAACTCGTTATGTTTTTTTTCAAGTTACTGTAGTCTGTAGGTGTTTCTTGTAACGAAACCTCTTCATTCTAACCATGATGTGTGACTAGAATCAACGGCAGATGCTGTTGCGAGCTGGATAATGTCATTCAATGCAAATACAATGTCATTTAACCTCCAAGAAAGGCGACCCAAAGGCCAAATTTACCACCTGCCTAGAAGCCAACAATTGTTAAACCCTTAGCTGCAGCGGTACCAGCACCAGCATCAGAAGCAGTGGCACCCGGAGCAGCAGCAGCACCCAAAGCAGCAGAGCCACCAGCACCAGCAGGGCCAGCACCAGCAGCGCCAACGCCGGCAGCATCATTGATACCAACAATACCATCACCAACAGCATGTACAGCACTGGAAGGGCCACCAGCAGTAGCATGTCCAGCACCAGATGGGCCACCAGCAGCAGCAGCAGCTTCAGTAGCACCTACACCATCGATAGCACTAGCTGTACCATCAGCAGCAGCACCCGCACTGCCAGCACCAACACCAGCACTACTGGCATCGGAAGCACTAGAACCAGAAATAACACCAGCACCACCAACAGCACCAGCAGTACCACCAGTGGCACCACTAGCACTGGTAGCAGCAGCACCAGCAGTGCCAGCACCAGAAACACTAGCACCAGCGGCACCACTGGCCCCAGTAGTACCGCCAGCAACGTTACCAGCAACACGTTGTTGTTGGCCCAACGGCTTCTGCCTGAACAAATGGTTCACGGCAAGCTTGCTGCTTTTAGCAGCGCCAGCCATTCTGTTGGAGGAACCACGTGTGGTGGGAACACTATAGCGGTGGGCAGATTTGCTGCTGGATGCCTTCCTGGTAGACGACTCGCCATGCTTCGACTTGTGGTGGTGATGGTCGTCATGGTCATGGTGATCATGGTGGTCCCCGTGGTCACCATGTTTGTCATGGTGGTCCCCGTGGTCACCATGGTTATCATGATGGTCATGATCATCGTCGTCGTCGTCGTCGTCGTCATCACCACCACCACCACCACCGGAGGGAGGCGGGTTGTCATAGTCCGAGTCATCGTTGTAGTCTGGCCCGCCACCCCAGAGGTACCGGGGTTTCCTGAAGCATGAGAAGTCCACCGCAAGGCCCCCCCTGGTTGGGAGAGAGTGGTGGGGGGAGGTTGGGGAGAGAGCGGGTTTGAGAAATGTTAGTCACACCGCGGCCACCAGAGGGAGGCGGGTTGTCATAGTCCGAGTCATCCTCGTAGTCGGGCCCGCCACCTCAGAGCTACCTTGGCTTTCTGAAGCACGAGAAGTCCACGGCAAGGCCGCCCCTGATAGGGAGAGGGAGGAAGGTATGAGGGAAGATTGGTTTGGTGACATGCACTGTAGTCAGTCAGGCCCACCACCCCCAAAGGTACCGGGGCCTCCTGAAGCACGAGAAGTTCACCGCAAGGCCGCCCCTGATAGGGAGAGGGAGTGGGAGGGGTACATGAGAAGAGGGGGCTTGGCTTGGTAACATGCATTCCCATCCTCGTAGGCCGCGCCCATCACCCCAGAGGTACCTTGGCTTCCTGAAGCACGAGAAATCCACCGCAAGGCCGCCCCTGGTAAGGAGAGAGAGGGAGTGGGAGGGGTACAGGAGAAGAGGGGACTTGGCTTGGTATCATGCATCGTCATCCTCGTAGTCGCGCCCACCACCCCAGAGGTACCTTGGCGTCCTGAAGCATGAGAAGTCCACTGTAAAGCCGACTGCTCGTGATAAGGCAAGTGGGTGTAAGGCTAGACGAAAGTGCATGAGAGGGTGGAAGGTTGAATGAGAGGGTGGAAGGTTACATGAGAGGGTGGAAGGTTGAATGAGAGGGTGGAAGGTTACATGAGAGGGTGGAAGGTTGAATGAGAGGGTGGAAGGTTGAATGAGAGGGTGGAAGGTTGAATGAGAGGGTGGAAGGTTACATGAGAGGGTGGAAGGTTGAATGAGAGGGTGGAGGGTTGAATGAGAGGGTGGAGGGTTGAATGAGAGGGTGAAAGGTTGAATGAGAGGGTGGAAGGTTACATGAGAGGGTGGAAGGTTGAATGAGAGGGTGGAAGGTTGAATGAGAGGGTGGAAGGTTGAATGAGAGGGTGGGAGTGCATGAGAGGCTAGACGAGGTTACATGAGAGTGCAGTGGGAGTGTGGGAGGAAACATGTGGCGGATGTAAGGGGAGAGAGAGCAGAATGTTCTAAGTTGTATGGAGGCAATAAGATGGCTTTTTTGTTACAGGGTAACAAGGTGCCTAGTTGTAACAAGGTAACAACCTGCTTCCTGGTCGCAGGGTAAGGTTCTAAGTTACAAGGTAACAAGGTTGTCTATTGGAGGAAGGGTAATGAGAGAGTTTACTGGTGGTTGCCGTGAAAGGCGAGGGTTTTGGTGGCGGTGCTGCTGATGGCCCAGATGAGGTAGTTGGTGGCGTTGAGCTTGATTGGTACGGCCCCTGTGCCCACCTTCCTGGCGAAACTGAGAGAAAGAGAGGAAGATTTCAAGGAGTGGGGCGGAAAGGGGGGGTAGGAAACAAGAAAACGTTGTTGGTGGCGTTGAGCTTGATTGGTACGGCCCCCGTACCCACTCTCCTGGCGAATCTGAGAGGGTGCGAGGGAGTGTGGGGGGGTGTGGGGGAACGGCGGCAGAGAACAAGAAGGGAGTGAGGAATAAGGAGAAGGAGAAGGACTTTGTCAGAGCGTCCCTTCACTGCCTTCTTTCTTCATGACCAGGGTCATTCTTGAGAATTTTCAAAAACTAGAGAAGAAAAGAAGGCAGTCAGCAAAGTAAAGAAGTCCCTTCTCTGCCTTCATTCTTCATGACTAGGGTAATTCTCGAGAATTTGAGAATACGCCCCTTCTTTGCTAGGGGGACCCTCCACTGCCGTGTATTTTCATGACCAGTGGACCCATGAAAATGAACAAGACGAAGCAAGCACAAAGCGCATGTTCAGTGCTGGTGACAATAACAGCAGCACAGAATAATGTAGCAGCAAAGAACCCTGTTGCAGTTATTGGGAAAGAACAGACGACACAGTAGGGTCACACACATGGGGAAATCGGGTAGAACATGGGGAAAAGGTGAGATGCATAGGGTAACACATGGGGAAATTTTGAGATGCATAGGGTAATACATGGGGAAAAGGTGAGATGCATAGGGTAACACATGGGGAAAAAGTGAGATGCATAGGGTAACACATGGGGAAAAAGTGAGATGCATAGGGTAACACATGGGGAAAATGTGAGATGCATAGGGTAACACATGGGGAAAATGTGAGATGCATAGTGTAACACATGGGAAAGTAAGGCAGCTCTCCCGTAATCCTTACATGATTGTAGTGCCGCCTTCAGACGTAGCAGCAACCGAAGGGGTCCCGATAGCGAATGCGTTTGTCCTCGTTACAAGAGTCTTACTGTAGCCACTCATATGCACCGCCACCACGCCCGGCAGGTTCCCAATGACCGCATCTGAGCCCTTCATCTTGCCCTTGTTGCCCGACCATCCAACGGCCATCCAGCCGTCTTTTGTCAGAGAGCCCTTTCGAGCCTCAATGGCGAATCTGATGCGTTTCTTTGTGGCGAAGGTCCAATGAAGGAGCACGCTGAGAGGGGGGAAAGGGATAGAGGAAGGGATGGGTAATAAGGTGGGGATGGGTTATGGGGGTTGCGAGGCTGTATGGCGATTCTGATGCGTTTCTTGGTGGCAAAGGTCCAGTGGAGGAGCACGCTGAGTGGGGGGGGGAAAGAAACAGGAAGAGGAGGGCACGGGGATGATAAACAGGATGGGGATGATAAACAGGATGGGGATGATAAACAGGATGGGGATGATAAACAGGATGGGGATGATAAACAGGATGGGGATGATAAACAGGATGGGGAGGGATTGAGGCAAGATTGCTGCTGCTGCTGACTTCAATGGTGAACCTGATGTGTTTCTTGGTGGCAAAGGTAACAGACCACGCTGAGACGGGGGGATTGAAGCAAGAGTGCTGCTGCTGCTGACTTCAATGGTGAACCTGATGCGTTCCTTGGTGGCAAAGGTCCAGTGAAGGAGCACGCTGGGAGGAGGAAAGGAAGGTTACATCACCATTCTCATCTTGCCACGGCACTATGATCACTCACCGCTATGATCACTCACCGCTATGATCACTCACCGCTATGATCACTCACCGCTATGATCACTCACCGCTATGATCACTCACCGCTATGATCACTCACCGCTATGATCACTCACTGCTATGATCACTCACCGCTATGATCACTCACCGCTATGATCACTCACCGCTATGATCACTCACCGCTATGATCACTCACCGCTATGATCACTCACCGCTATGATCACTCACCGCTATGATCACTCACCGCTATGATCACTCACCGCTATGATCACTCACCGCTATGATCACTCACCGCTATGATCACTCACCGCTATGATCACTCACCGCTATGATCACTCACCGCTATGATCACTCACCGCTATGATCACTCACCGCTATGATCACTCACCGCTATGATCACTCACCGCTATGATCACTCACCGCTATGATCACTCACCGCTATGATCACTCACCGCTATGATCACTCACCGCTATGATCACTCACCGCTATGATCACTCACCGCTATGATCACTCACCGCTATGATCACTCACCGCTATGATCACTCACCGCTATGATCATTCACTGCGTCAGCAGACACAGTCACTCAGTGACAGAGGCACAGTCACTCAGTGACAGAGGCACAGTCACTCAGTGACAGCGGCACAGTCACTCAGTGACAGCGGCACAGTCACTCAGTGACAGCGGCACAGTCACTCAGTGACAGCGGCACAGTCACTCAGTGACAGCGGCACAGTCACTCAGTGACAGCGGCACAGTCACTCAGTGACAGCGGCACAGTCACTCAGTGACAGCGGCACAGTCACTCAGTGACAGCGGCACAGTCACTCAGTGACAGCGGCACAGTCACTCAGTGACAGCGGCACCAGCATCACTTACAGTGGTCCGTTCAGCTCGACTTGATACGAGTACCCGGCAAGCGACGACGATGCACACGCCGCGCCCGCAGGCGGGGGTGACGACGCGGGTGGAGGAGGGGAGGGCTTGGGCGTGGAAGACGGCGGGGGAGGCGGGGATGGTTTGGTGGAAGCGGGGGGGGGAGGCGGAGGCTTGGCGGTGGACGGGGCGGGCGGCGGGGGTTTGGCAGTGGAAGGGGCGGGCGGCGGGGGGGCGGCGACGGCGTTGGGGTCACACTTGTAGTCGACTGTGACGACGCCGCGCTGGGCGGCATGACCGGCACTGAAGTCGCCGGAGGGGCCGTCGGAGTAGGCCCAGATGGTCTTCATGGGTCCGTTCACGAAGTTGATCTTGTCGCCCGTGCCCACCGTGCGGGAGAAACTGTGGGGGAGATTGGGGGGTGTGGGGATGGGGAGGGCAGGGGGGGTGGGGAGGGGAGGGGAAGCGTTGGGGGGGAGCGGCGTGGCCGACATCGAATGATCCTGAGGGGCCGTCGGAGTAGGCCCAGATGGTCTTCATGGGTTCGTTCACGAAGTTGATTTTGTCCCCCGGGGTACGGGGGACAAAATACGGGGTACGGGGTAGCGCTGGTGGTGTTCGTGGCAGCGCCGGCAGGGTGCGTGGCAGCGGGCTTGGTATAGGCCGTAGCTCCGGAACCCAGCTGGAAATTCGCAAAGGGGTAAGCGCAGATATATAGACAATACGTACGTGGCAACGCCGCTGGCGAACGGGACAGCGCTGGTGGTGTTTGTGGCAGCACCGCCGTGGTACGTGGAAGCGGGCTTAGTGTAGGTGGCTCCGGAACCCAGCTGGAAATTCGCAAAGGGGATGATGGCCGTGGGTGAGTTGTGCTCCATTTTGTACGGGCCAATGTCACCGTAGGTATCGGAGTTGACAATGACGGCATCTGCGGGGTACATTGCTCCGGTGGCAGACCAGCCCACGCCGAACCACCCGCCGGTGATGGCAGCTGTTTGGGCTTCCAGTGCCATGTTCACCGTCGTGCCTGTTGTGACCTTCCAGTGAAGAATAAACCTGCCAAGGTGTAGGGGGGGGAGGACAGGAGAGGACAAGGCGGAAGTGGGAAGGAGGGATGGATATTCTGTGAGTCGAGCTCCATTTTGTACGGGCCAATGTCGCCGTAGGTATCGGAGTTGACAATGACGGCATCTGCGGGGTACATTGCCCCGGTTGCCGACCAGCCCACGCCGAACCAACCCCCGGTGATGGCGGCTGTTTGGGCCTCCAGAGCCATGTTCGCTGTCGTGCCTGTCGTGACCCTCCAGTGCAGAATGAACCTGCCAGGTTGGGAGGGGAGGAGGAGAGGAGGGGAGAAGGGTGGGGGGAGGTGGGAAGGAAGGATGGATATTCTGTGAGTTGTGGATCATATTGTCGGGGCCAGTGGCTCCGTTGAGTGCGATGTGAACAATGACGGCATCCGCGGGGTACATTTCTCCGGTTGCCGACCAGCCCACGCCGAACCACCCACCCAAGACGGCAGTGAAGAATCAGCCTGCCGGTATGTGGTGGTGTGGGGGGGGGGGGGGGGGGAGGGAGGGAGGGAGGGAGGAGGGGAAAGGAGAGGAGGGGGGATGGTTTGACAAAAGGAGTATCCTTCATATGTGAGTAGGAAAATGGTATGCCGCATTTCACCACGAAGTTGCCACTTTCTGATGAAATGAAAGTGAGACATTTCACATGGAAGGACTAGTGGGAGGAGGGAACGGACAAGTGAAAAAAAAATGCATAAGTTTAGAGCAAAAAAATAAAAAAAAAGCAAAAAGGGAGTGCAATGATAATGTTCCAGGTTGTAGTCGACTTCTTAAAAAGAAAATACATTGAGGAATTTACGTAGAGAACTAAGATACCTCCAAAACATATTTCAAAAAGGCATCTCGAATTTGTCATAAAATTTCTTATTGGGGAAAAATGTGACCCATGAATAGGTTATCAGACACATCCATTACAACTTTCGTTTAGAGCATTATATGTTTTTTTTCCTCTCACCTCATAATAGGAAATCAAAATGTTGATTTGTAACATCAAACATTAATATTTATTAGAAAGGCACAAGTATTAAGACTCCTCAATTTGAAAAAAAAAACTTATAGTGTTGGTGTAGTAATGTAGTAATATAGTCATTTTCGTTCAATGCCAGAACCGACATACATCTAGCAATTATAAAAAAAATGTTGGTGTAGTAATGTAGTCGGGGGAGACAACAGTATTCTTACCCGGGTGCAAGCGTTACCGAGGACGTGAATCCACTTCGGCTCGACGCGCTGCATGTCGCCTGGACTGCAGCGCGCTGTGATTTCCATCGCAACCCCACAGCACCGGATAGAAGATTTCCGGCACTTTCTAGCAACGATCCGAAGGTAGGGAAGCGAAATGAAGGGCGAACGGAGGGAAGCGGGAGAGCGGGTGCGGCGGCGGCGGCGGCAGCGGCGGAAATGGCGGCATAGTGTGTTACTGCAAATAGCAGCACGAGCAGCGGCGTCACGGTGAGCAGATGACGGGCCATCGAGACTTCTCAGGAGGAACGGCCCGTGGCGTGGAAGCGTCAGAGGAACACGGAAGCTAGCGAACAGCTCCGAGCTGCAGAGTCTGCAGAGTCTCCAGCAACACAGCGGCGGGGAAGCCGGAATGCTCGACTGGAAGAGCGAACCAGCTTTCCTTTTTGCCAAATGGTTGCAGGCAACCAAGCATATGAATAGAGCCACGCCACAGCCACTACGGTGCTCTGTGCAGAACTGTGCCCTGCGTACACTTGCCTTGGGTGTTTTCGTTCCTGGATGGTTTTTTTCTGGTGGTTCGTTCCCAAACTCTGGTCACAACTCCAAACGTAATGAAGTCAACGCTGAACTTCGGAAACTTACCAAGGTCAATGCTGTTTAATTCCGATCGTTGCTAAACACTTTCGGATGCAGGAAATTACATCTCAGTTTTACCTTCAGATTTTAAACTAATTGTGACCCCGAAAGGTACTTTAAAGCCGGCGGCCCAAATTGTTCATGCTTTTAAAAGTTGACCAGAGGGAGTTTTTCTGGTGTGGGCTTTGGCGAGAGTTTCCGATTTCGTCTAGGTTCGTTTTTTTCGCGAGACCCAGCCAACCGTCGGTTTTCCCCCTGGTGAGTGAATCTGTCTTCGAAAGTCCCAAATTGCAAGTGCGTGACTTTCAAAAGCTTGGACACTCAACTTCGTCAAGTTTTAAAAACTTGACCCTCGCGGCCCGCAATTTGGGACGCGGGCTTTAAACGAGTCGATGGATCTTTGCAACTGCACATTTCAGTGAGGCGGGGGAAATGGGGGTGCTGGCATGAGGGGGGGTGCCAACAGAAATTGATGCACAGTTGACGATGCCAGGTGGCATGGATGGAGGCTTCCGCCTTAGTGAAATTTGTGGTCAGGTGCTGTATTATGGGGCAACACAAAGTGTGTTGTAAAGTAGTATGCCATGCTGTAACCTATGTTCGAGTTTCGGGAGACAGTCTAGCTCAAGCCGTGTGTGGTCGAAAAAGCTCCATATCGGCTACCAGCTTCCTCAAAAGAGTTTTGTCGGTCAGGTGCAAAGTGAGCTCTTCGGGGAAGCGGTTGCAACGGGGGCGCCAAGGGGACTGTGTCAAGCGGTGGGCGGCAGGAGGACATGTCGAATGGTAGGTGGCAGGAAGGCGTGCAGGATGTGGCGATTACTGTACGGGCATTTCAAAATGTCAATGGCACAAGTGTGATCGAGGCGATCAAACTCGATTGGGCCCACGTCCTGCACTGTGTACGTTTTGGCTTGCTTCTTACACGGGGATATCGGATGGGATGAATTCAGGGGCAGCCGAGACTTCGACTCGTTGACTCCGAGAAGGTTGATTTGGCGGTGCGAACCAGAGTACAGTATTTGTGTGGCGCGCATCGATTTGGCGGCGACACTGTAACAAACGGGGTCGGATTCCTGAAGTGTGTGACTGTGACCCTACGATACGAGTCGCCTTGCCTCTAGAGTCAAACAAAAGCGAAACGTAGAGGCGGCACGCCACAAATGCATGTGCTAGTAGTAGCAGCCTCGATACTACTGAATCATTTCGGACTCCAGCTCAGCTTATAGACACGGTAGATCCATCTAGATTACGAAACCCTACAAAATGCAATAGCAACAAATACATACATTTGGGTACGTGAGGTTGGGCACCTTGTTGAATAATTATCGATACAGGTTTTTTACAGGCTGCAAACCCAAGCGGACTTGGGCGCTTTTACTTTCTAAATTGCACTAGCAGGAACACTTGGAATCTGAAATTGGTTTTGTGTTTGAGAACTACCGGTAGCTGTTTTCAGGCAAAGACAATCCACACAATCAATCAACCTCCAAAAACAGTTTTCCAGAATCCAGACCTCCTCGTCCACCAGTCAGCATTTGTCATGCCGACCCCAGTGCCAACAGCACCATCACCAGCAACACCAGCAGTGGTACCAGCAGCACTCTCATGGTGCTGATGCCCCAAGCCCGTCTGCTGGTGCAACCGGTTTCGCCGACCGCTGCTTAAAGCCCCACCCGTTGCTGAGTCAGCAGAGGAGGTGCCTGCAGAGCTTGTACTAGTGCCATCCATGCTTGCAGCGCGTGCACTGCGGAACGAGTTGTCATAATCCGAGTCATCGCTGTAGTCCGGCCCACCACCCCACAGGGCTGAGGGCTTCTTGAAACACGAGAAGTCCACCGCAAGGCCGCCCCTGTTAGGGAGACAGGGACGGGGGAAGGGTGGAAGAGGGCGGACAGGGGGAGGGGGGGGGGATATACTGGTATGAGGGGAGTCACTGGTTACACGGGCTGACTTGTTCCAGCCATCTGAAAGGCAAAACTGTGGAGCCGTGTACTGTTGAACGACAGTGTTTGAAGGGTAACCAAGTGCCGCAGCCGCACCAGTAATGGTACCACGGTTGCATGGTAACCAGGTTACAGGGCAACAGGGGGCTTACTGGTTCCAGCCATGGAAGGCGAGGGTTGTGGAGGCCGTGGTACTGAAGGCATAGATGAGGTAGTTGGTGGCGTTGAGCTTGATTGGTACCGCTCCCTTGCCCACCTCCCTGGTGAACCTGCAAGGAGAGGAGAGGCAGAGGGGAGAGGGCATATGGGGGATACGAGAGAGAGAGGAGAGAGGGGGTTAAGTGGGGAGATGGGAAAGGGTCAAGCGAGGGACAAAAGGGGTATGATATCCCACGGATCCGATAGTGAACGCACTCATTTACAAGCTTCTTACTGTATCCACTCATGTGCACCAGTACCACGCCAGGGGAAAACACACTCAACACACACACTCAAAACACGCTCTACACTCACTCAAAACACGCACGCTTTACACACACTCAAAACACACACTCACGTGATTGTGGTGCCGCCTTCAGAGGTGGTAGCGGCTGAGGTATTTCCAATAGTGAACGCACTCGCTTGCTTTATAAGCTTCTTGCTGTAACCACCCATGTGCACCCCCACCTGTCCTTGCCAAAACACACTCAACACACACACCCTCAAAACACACACTCACGTGATTGTGGTGCCGCCTTCAGAGGTGGTAGCGACAGCAGTATCCCCGATAGTGAACGCACTCGTTTGCTTCACAAGCTTCTTGCTGTACCCACTCATGTGCACCGCAGCCACGCCAGGCAGGTTCCCAATGACCGCATCTGAGCCCTTCATCTTGCCCTTGTTGCCCGACCATCCAACGGCTATCCAGCCGTCCTTGGCTATAGTGGCGCCACGTGCCTCTATGGAGAACTTGATGGTGGTGCTGGTGCTGAAGGTCCAGTGCAGCAGCATGCTGAGAGGAGGGGGTTGTGATGATTGGGAAGGAGGATGGGGGAAGGAGAGACCGGAAAGCCAAGGTTGAGGCTATGGTGGTGCCAATACGTGCCTCCAGAGTGCATTTGATGGTGGTGCTGGCGGCGAGGGTCCAATGCAGGAGCATGCTGAGAGGAGGAAGGGGTTAGGGTAGGTTGGGGACAAGCAGGGGAAGATGGGGGATGGGAGGGGGTGGATTTGGGGGTGGGGACAGGAAGGGGGGGAGGAGGGTTGGCTAGAGTGCTGCCGCGTGCCTCTATTGAGAATTTGGCGGTGGTGCTGGTGGAAGGTCCAGTGCAGGAGCATGCTGAGAGGAGAGGGAGGGGGGGTAAGGATGTGAAGTGGATGGGGAGGGTAAATTAGGGGGAAGGGGGAGTGGGTCCAAGGAATGATAAGAGATGGGCGAAATGGGGGATGGGGAATGGGGAACGGAAAGTGGGGGATGGCGATGGGGGATAGGGAAGGCGATGGGGGATAGGGATAGCTATCGGGCCACCCCTTTCCCTTCCTCTCACTCACAGCGGCCGTCCAAGCTTCACTTGGTATTTCAACCCTTCATGACCCGACGCAAGGCACGCCACCACTCTGCCACACCCACCTTTCCCCTTCCTCACACTCCTCACAGCCCATCCTTTCCTCGCACTCACAGCGGCCCCCCAAGCTCCACTTGGTATACAAGCCCTTCAACAGCCGACGCCGGGCATGTTACAGTGCCCCACCCATCTTGCCCCTTGCTTCCTCTTCTCACCACCCCACCCCCCACCCCTTTCCCTTCCTCGCACTCACAGCGGCCCCCCAAGCTCCACTTGGTAGTCAAACCCTTCCAGAGCCGACGCCGGGCACGCCACACCAGCAGCCGGCGGCGCCGGGGGAGGTGACGGAGTGGCGGTGGGGGGGGGAGGGGAGGCGGAGGAGGCAGGGGGAGGCGGGGAGGCGGAGGAAGCAGGGGGCGGCGGGGGGGAGGGGTTGGCGGAGGCGGGGGGAGGGGAGGGCGTGGCAACGGGGGTCCCGTCGCAGGAGAAATCGATGGTGGTGCTGCCGCGGTTGCCCCCGTGGCCGTCAAATGAGGTGGTGGCGCCGTCCGAGTAGGCCCAGATGGTCTTCATGGGTCCGTTCACGAATGTCACCTTGCTGCCTGTTCCCACTGTGCGGGAGAAACTGAGGAGGTGGGAGGGTGAGGTGGGGGTGGAGGGGGGAGAAGTGGGAAGGGAGAGGTGAAGGGGCCGTCGGAGTAGGCCCAGATGGTGTACATGGGTCCGTTCACGAGTGTCACCTTGCTGCCTGTTCCCACCGTGCGGGAGAACCTGTTGAGAGGGAACGGAAAGAGAGGGGTGGGGGAGGGGCCGTCGGAGTAGGCCCAGATGGTCGTGATGGGTCCGTTCACGAAGGTCACCTTGCTGCCCGTGCCCACTGTTCGAGAGAACCTGTGGGGGCAAGGGATAGAAGGGGGAAAGTGGAGTGGGGAAGAGAGTGGGCAAGGTGACGACAAAGGCGGGGGTGTAGGGCAGGAGAGGGGAGAGGAGGGAGGAGAAGGAGGAGAAGGAGGAGGGGGGAGGGGAGAGAGTGAAGGAAGGGAACGAGGAGGGAGGTTGGGTGGATGAGCGCATGTGAAGTGAGGTGACTTGTAATGAGGTGGCTTATAATGAGGTGACTCACGATGAGGCAACGTTTGATTCAACCAGCAGCATGGCGCATTATAGAAAGTGGAAAAGGCGAACCCATGCGGCAGAGCAGAATGAATACCACACGCAGCAGCGCAATCAAAGAAAAAGACGTCCGAAAAAGGGGAAAGGCCGAACGTACGTGGCAGCACCGGCGGAATACGTGGGAGAGCGAGCGAGAAGGCGGTGGTGTAGGCAACGTTGGAGCTGTCGTAACCCGTTATGGTGTACGCGCCAATGTCCGCCTCTCCAACCCCCCACCCCCCTCCCCTCCCTCCCTCCCCATGCTGACTTTTGAGTCGACTCAAAAGCAACCTGAATGACACACGTGGCAGTGCAACTTATAAACGTACGTGGCAGCACCGGCGGAATACGCGGGCGAGCCGAGCGAGAAGGCGGTGGTGGAGGCAACGTTGGAGCTGTCGTAACCCGTTATGGTGTACGCGCCAATGTCCGCCCCCGCCTTGTGCGCGATGACGGCGTCCGCGGGGTACATCTTGCCGCCCGATGACCACCCCACCGCAAACCACCCGCCCGAGGCGCCTGCTGACGTGGCTTGCAGCTCCATGTCGACGGTAGTCCCGGTGGTGGCCTTCCAGTGCAGAACCAGGCTGGCGGAAGAGGAGGGGCGGAAGGGGAGAGGCGGAAGGGGAGGGGCGGAAGGGGAGAGGCGGAATGGGAGAGGCGCCTGCTGACGTGGCCTGCAGCTCCGTCTCGACGGTAGTCCCGGTGGTGGCCTTCCAGTGCAGAACCAGGCTGGCGGAAGGGGGGAAGGCGGAAGGTGGCGGAAAGGGGGATGCGCGGAAAGGGAATAGGCGGAAGGGGAGGGGCGGGAAGGAAATGGAGGAGAAATTCTGATACGAGACGAGAACTTCAAAACCGAGAAGTTTACGATGATTACCAGATTCTGCCGACAAAGTGAAATTCTGAGGATAGATTCACAGCCATCTTTTTTCGCGCCGAGTAGATTGTTTAATCAACTCTACAGGGGTTCAACGCGGTGAGTAGCAGATCCGGTATTTTTTTTTAGTCGAGTAAAAACTCAGTGATGGGTGACGCGACTCGATCTATACGGCGGATGACGCGGTGCCTCGTACCCCGCTTTCAGCATTTTCGACAACGTTTTCAGCGTATGGTGAGACGATATTTGAGGCTTCGGCGTATTCTTCTCCGCGTGTGGTGCTGCACATACCCCGATTTCAGCGTATTCGACGACTTTTAGCCGCTGAGGCTCGAAGCGCTTTAGACACAAACATATCCTGCTTTCAGCATGTGGCGCTGCACGTACCCCGCTTTCAGCGTTTTCGACGACGTGTAACCGCTAAGGCTCGAAGCGCTGCACGTCGCCGCCACTCCAGATCCCGCCTTCCCCCGCCTCCCCTGCGCCGGCGGCGCCGGCGCCGCCGCCGGCTTCAGAGTTTCCGTGCCGCCGAAGAAGAGCTTTCCGTCTTGAATCGACCCAACGGAGATGGAGAAGGGGAAGAAGGACGAAATGGCGGGCGGAGGAGGCGCGGGCGCGCCGGCGGCGGCGGCGGCGGAGGCGTAGCTTGTGATTATAACGAGCAGCGTGAGCTGAAGCGCGAGGAGCTGAGAAGCCATTGCGTTGAAAAATGTGCTTTTGAACGAGAGGCGTCAAAATGGTTTAGCTGCGTGGAAGGGCGAAAATGAGGCTTGAGGATGGGATGCTGCGGTATGGTGGAGGGCGAGTGGATATGGCGAAAAGAAGATGCGTTTTTGGTGGGATTGGCGAGGCAATATCAGCCCAGTGACGACGAGACAATTCTGCGACACGCCGCCAGCGACTCGCTGGCAATATCAGCCCAGTTTGGACGTTATCTTTCGCCGTTGTAGATTTATTCGCTGTGTGCGTGCACGGCGAGGAGGAGCAACTAGCGGGAAGAAACTCGGCGAAGGGAGCAACGAAGCAGTGGACAAGCTAGGGACCACCATCGATGGGGGGGACCACTCACGCCGGATGCTTGACAAGGCAGTGAGGGAGTTTGTCAGGGAGTTCTGAGGTTGCTCGCTGCTTTTATTGACGGAGAGCAAGGAGGTTGAGGAATTTGCAACAGCAGAGATAGAATTCCGTAGGTTCGGATTCAAAGCAGCGCGATTCGGGAACTAGGCTGAAAAGGAGGCGCAAATTGAGCCGAGCCGAGTGTCGCACTTGCTGGTTGGGGGGCATGTGTGGGCAGGTTTGGGGCGGCGGGGCAACGCAGCAAGGTATGTACACGGAAGGTCTAGGCTAGGGACGTTACAAATTGGAATCTTGCCTTGGCGTGGTCCGCGCTCATTTCCGGAACTGAAACCGTAGCTTCGGAGTTCATGGCTCGGGATGAATATTCTATGCCAGGAAGGTCCCCAAGCTCGGCGATGGGTTCTCCCGTGGCTGTCGCTTACCTGACTCTTGTGAATCTTGACTCTGTCCGGGCCGAGTAACATCCCAAGCTGGGACGAAGGTGAGGGAGGGGCGATCAACCGTCTCTGATTGGCTTCCAGAGGTTTGGCGGCGGAAAGAAAGGGGCGTCAGCGCCGCCCTGCGAGGCGTCTCGCCTTCTTCTGCGACGAACACGCCCAGGCGACGCATTTCGTACACGCCTTGTTCACATGTCGGACACACGAAACTCACAATACACACCGGCTCCACACACCGCCCACAGACAGAGATCCCACACAACCAATCACATCACACCCAGCCGCCGAACCAGCCTCGCTTGGTCTGAGCTCCATCCGTACCTGGCTTGCTTGTAGCAACGCCAGTCTTCATCCACAAATCACTGTATAGGGCCAGGAAAAAATGGGGGAGTAAATTTGCAAACAATATATTATTACTTATTAGCTTTCGAAGTGTTTTGAAAGGAATGCTAAACCAGGATGAGGTATGGTAGTCTACAGTATGGTAGTAGCATTAAAAGCATTCTGAAGCCAAACTACACCTGATATAGATGTTTACATCACCTGGATATTTAGCAAAGCACGAGAAATGCCTTACAAAGAGCTAGACTGATTATCTATCAACCATTGACCCAGTCTGCATCCCCCGAGTCCCTACCCAACCCAAACCTTTCCGCACGCACCAACCGCTCAAGGACTCCTCTCCTGCCACCACTCTCCATTCGACCGGCCCGCTGCTCCATCATAGAACCGCACTCCCGATTTGCGGTTTGCAGCACCTGCGTCACCAGCAGCAGTACCAGCAGTGCCAGCAGCACTGCTCGATTGCCCCTGATCAACAAGAGAGGCAGTGAGTCCAGCAGCATCGCCAGCAGCAGCAGCGTCAGTGGGAAGGCTGGCGCCCTGCCAGGGGCCGCCCGAGTAATCCTTGTCAGCATCAGAGTCATCACGGTAGTCGGGCCCGCCGCCCCACAGGGGCTGAGGCACCTGGTAGCATGCAAAGTCCACCGCATAGCCGCCCCTGTAGGAGTGGGGAAGACGAGGGGTTAAGGGGTGGGAAAGAGACAGGTAGGGCAAGGGTCAGGAATAGGAGCGGGTCAGGAATGGGAGAGGGTCAGGGATGGGAGAGGGTCAGGGATGGGAGAGGGTCAGGGATGGGAGAGGGTCAGGGATGGGAGAGGGTCAGGGATGGGAGAGGGTCAGGGATGGGAGAGGGTCAGGGATGGGAGAGGGCCAGGGATGGGAGAGGGTCAGGGATGGGAGAGGGCCAGGGATGGGAGAGGGCCAGGAATGGATTACAGAAGAGGGGGAGGTGGCATGTATAACGGAGGGGACAGAGTAGCCTCGAAATTCTTACAGGCATACAGGTGATGCCATCCCTCCCACCTCTGCTGTCACTCCCAGCTCTGCCGTCATCCCCATGCACACTTTTAAATCCACTCAGCAGTCCCTCCCTTCCAGCACTCCCAGCACTCCCAGCACCCCCCAGCACCCCCAGCACCCCTTCCAGCACTCTCAGCACTCAAAGCACCCCCCAGCACCCCGCAGCACCCCTGCTATCCCTATCACACGTACTGGTTCATGCCGTGGAAATACAATGTTTTGGACACCGTCTGTGCGAACGCCCAAATAAGATAGCTCGTGGTGTTGAGCTTCAGAGGCACGTTCCCCGAGCCGACCGTCCTGCTGAATGCAATGGACGTGCCGCCCTCACTCGTGGTTGACACCGACGTGGTCCCCAGGGAGAAAGCAGTCGTTTGCTGGATGTTCTTTAGCCGATAGCCGTTCATGTAGAACGCTCCCACGCCCGGGAGGTTCCCGATGACTGCATCTGAGCCCTTCATCTTGCCCTTTTTGGACGACCATCCGACGGCCATCCACGCGTCCTTGATGATGGTGTTGGAGCGGGCTTCAATGAGGAAGTTGATGACCGTGTTGGAGGCGAACTTCCAGTGGAGCAGGTAGCTGGGAGCGTGGAGAGGGGTGGAGAGGGGTGGAGAGGGGTGGATAGGGGTGGAGAGGGGTGGAGAGGGTTGGAGAGAGGTGGAGAGGGGTGGTGAGGGGGGGCATGAGGGAAGGAGGAAGGAACTACAGGCCTCACACACACTCCCACTTACCCACTTACACACTCTCTCACAAACGCACACACCCCCCCACTCACTTGCCACTGCCCAGCTCTAGCTGGTACTCGTATCCCGAGAACGTGGACGCGGGGCACAGCACGCCCTTAGATGGCGGAGTGACGGTGGAGGGCGGCGGGGGGGAGGGCGTGGTGGAGGCAGGGGGAGGCGGAGGGGAGGGGGAGTCGGTGGAGGGGGCAGGGGCGGGCGCCATGACGGTGGCGTCCCCCGTCATGAGGCCGTTGCACGAGTAGTCCACTTGGGCGGACCCACTGGGGGGGGGCGAGAGCAGGCACACACACACACACAGGGGGAGAGAAGGCAGAATGAAGGGTCGCAGGGAGCAGGGCCGTTGCAGGAATAGACCACGTGGGCGGGCGCACTAAGGGGGTTGAGCGCAGATGGGAAGAGGAAGGGGGGAAAGGAAAGGGCTTCCTTTTCCCGTTCCCCCCTCTCCTTGTTCCCTCATTCAGCCGACCAATCCGTCTCTTTCTCCCGTCCCTCCGCTCATCTCGATTCCCCCCTTCCCCAATATCACACCGCTTTCCCGTCCCCTTATAACACCTCCCCCCTTCCCTCCTCTGTCCCTTTCCGCCCATCCGCCAACCCCCGTTCTCCCCCAATGCCCCCATGCCCCCTCCCCCCTTCTGCTTACGCTGGCGCGGGGTTGCTCCCCATTGGCTGCCCGTCCCGGCTCGGGTAGAACCAGACCAGGTTCATAGGTCCGGACGACTGGAACGTCACCGAGCCTGTCCCCTCGGTTCGGCTAAACCTGAGACATTGAAAACAAACAGAGAGAAGCACGGACACATCAAGGCGCGATATTCGATGTCAGACATTGGTTTGATCGTCAGTCAAACAGTCAGCCGTCAGTCAGGATGTCGGCCGTCAGTTTAAACGGTAAGCCGTCAGTGAGGCAATCCGCCGTCAGTTGAAATGACCGACTACGGCCACAGAAGGCAAAAGAACCAGAGCGCGGAAAAAGAGCAGGGATCGGCCATAGAAGGTGCAGTTTCTGCGTAACGGCTGTGGCGGCTAGTGGCAAGAGCATCCTCTGCGCCTGACTTATGAGTCGACACACAAGTCACCTCGCCTAAATAACACCCTCTTCTAGTCTCAAATCTAGTAGCAAGAGCATCCTCTGCGCCTGACTTATGAGTCGACACACAAGTCACCTCGCCTAAATAACACCCTCTTCTAGTCTCAAAACTATTAGCAAGAGCATCCTCTGCGCCTGACTTATGAGTCGACACACAAGTCACCTCGCCTAAATAACACCCTCTTCTAGTCTCAAAACTAGTAGCAAGAGCATCCTCTGCGCCTGACTTATGAGTCGACACACAAGTCACCTCGCCTAAATAACACCCTCTTCTAGTCTCAAAACTAATAGCAAGAGCATCCTCTGCGCCTAAATAACACCCTCGGTTTGACCCAGTGGGTAGCGAGGCGTTACATTCTGGGAGTGGCGATATTGGCGAAACGGAGACATGGGGACATTGACGAAAATGGATAGCGACGCGCGGAGTACTCACAATGCGATGGTGCTGTCGCCGAACCCGACGGATCCGGCGCTCCCGATGCTGAGGGTGTTCGTTTGCGTCATAATGGTCATGCGCGTCTCGCCGCCCTGCATCTGCGGCGCGGTGACGCTCATCGTCGTGAAAGGCTTCACTTCGCCGTTCGCGACGTTCGCGAAAACCGCGTCGGTCTTGACGCCGTTTTCGGTGGCGGTCCAGCCGACGCCGAACCAGCCCTTGGATCGCGTCGGGTCGGCCTCGAGCGCCATTTGAACCACCGAGCCTGACGAAGCGCGCCAATGATAGGTGAGTCTGCGCGGAGGACGAGGTGTGGGAGGCAGGCGGGGGAAAGGGGAGGGGCGGAGGGAGCGGAAGGGAGCGGCGGCGGAAGGGGGAGCGGCCAAAGAGGAGATGTAAAAATCTGCGATTTGATAGGAATAACAGGTGGGTCGTCATGTCATATTATGTATAGCAGCGATATTGTGTGATACTATGAAGCAACGGCGCGATGGAGTGTACAGAATAATAATAATACAATCCGAAGTCATTCTTTCACATTCTGGTGTACTCGTTGAAAAACCACCATTGGCGCGCTTCCGAGTACATCATCGACACATGCAAGGCGCGAACAAACCCGTCTCCAAGCATACGGTGGCGCGACCATTGAGGCGCCGAAAATAACGAGTAAACGCGACTCGGAACATACCCTGGCGCGAGGACCTTCGACGAGGTAAACCCGCTGGCGGCGAGCGATGACGGGCCGCACTTCGCGGCGCTATGCTGCGCGGGCGGCGGGGGCGGGGAAGGCGGAGGCGGAGAAGGAGAAGGCGGAGGCGGAGACGGAGGCGGAGGCGGAGAGGGAGGCGGAGGCGGGCTAGCGAAGTGGAGGTTTCCGCGGGTGATGGAGCCCATAGTGAGGAACGGGAAGAAGAACGAAAGCGCCGCCGGCGGTGGCGGAGGCGGAGCGTTTTTTACGGCGAGCGCGGTATGCGAGTGGACGAGCAGCATCGCGAGCACCAGCGGAAGCGCGGTCATGGTTGCGCGGAGGCTTGCGCGGCCCGCGCGCGAGGTGCTGGCTGACGAGGCGGCCATGTGGAGGGCGTGTAGGACGGCGGCGGCGGAACGAATGGAAGGAGAGGTGGCGGGGGCGGAGATGGCTGGCTGCGCCGGAAACGCTGCGCGCGTTCAGGGAGGAAGGGCAGGAGGAAGAACGGTTCTCCTGCAAACTCGACTTTTGAGACGTCTCAAGAGAACGGTTCTCCTGCAAACTCGAGCCAAAAGATCCACAACCGCATACAGCGTTTGCTGAGCAGAATGAGATTCAAGAACTACTTGAATCTTGATGCAGTGCGGTGCAAATGCTCGCCGTGCTGACACTAGGTGGTGGTGCAAGTGCAACAGTGCGTGGGCTGGACATGCACACACGCAGCAGCAGTGACCAAGGGGCACCAAAATAAATCCGGTTCGATCGGGAAGATGGAGAAATTCGGGTGCGGGGTGGTGGGGGGGTTCGAGTGGGGGGCCGCGGGAAGAGGGGCGGCGGAGTGCTCAGGAGAAAATTATGGGCGGAGCAGGGCGCGATGGTCCCACGATGATGCCTGCCCCTAGGCGTACCAGGTTGTTTGCAACAGAGCTGGTTCGGGATGGAGGCTAGGCGTAAACCTGATTGGTGAGAAGTGGGGCTTGTAGGGGGCAAGCGGACACAGTCAGCAGCGACTCGGTACAAACAAGGCGCATCTGAGAGTGAACACTCTCCACGTCACAGAGGCGGCGCCCAGGGACTAGGTTCGTTGAAATCTGGCTTTTTGGAACTGAATGGATGACGAAGTATTGCGAATAGTTTTTCGGTTCAAAATGGTCTTTGCGAACGGTGAACAGCCAACCACAATGTGTCACACCAGACTCGCGACACAACGTACACAAGCACTTTCGCGTGCCACACGCAATCCGGTTATGGCAGAGCAGAGCAGCATGGCACCGCGTGTTTGAAAAACGCGGCGCCGACATCTCAAACCCCTGTTCGGAATACCAAGGCGAGGCATCAGCTCCGTTTTTCTTGTTTGGTCAGGGTCGTTGACTGGCTCCGAGTGTGGGCCACGTGGCTTGACCTGACTCATGAAGGATCTTTTTCCTGATTGGGCAAACCTGGAGCTCACACAGCTGTCGGAGATCTTTTTGATTGCTGCCCCTATTTCTGCCACTCACGTGACCACAGCAGCATACGCACTAGAAACTGCTGCACTGGGCTTCGATTTAAAATTACATGAAAAAATGTTTTAGATACACACATCACCAGAAGGGAGTGCCACATCCTTCTCTCCAAACAAACCCATGGGGAGGATGGCTTCGACTGTCAGGCCAGCCCTCCTCCACGATGAATCCTCTGCTAACCTCAACCCACGCTCCCTTTTCACTATATCCATACCCCTTCCATGCATTATCAATACAGTCATCAAATACACAGATAGCATTAAAGATCTCGTATTCCGGGTCCGAGCGGAGTTCAGCAACAAGAAAGCGGAGCTTTCGGGGAAGGTTCCTTGACCGGGCATCCTCAGAACACCTGCGAATCGTTTTAAGCATGTCGTCTCCCGTCAACGGCATTGCAATCCCATCGGGCCGCGATGCAAAGCCGGCACCTAATTCGGCACTGTGACAGGTGGCACCTGGGTCAGGAACAGCACCAGGGGAGATATCATCCAGGTGAGGACCAAGGGAGGTGGTAACTGGATGCTGTGGCCACGTGGGGGAGATTTTATCTGGGACTGGGACGATGACAGGTGAGAGCCATTCCGCCTTGGGAAGGATGTACCAGCGGGAATGGACATGTCTCGGGTGGTGTACCACCGCTGCGGCATCATGTGTCCACCACCCATGCCAGTGCCACGGAAACACACCAGCGCATGGCGCTGCTGCTGTGCCTGCTGCTGCTGCCTCTTCTGCTGTGCCTGCTGATGTGTGGTCTACTGTTTCTACTGCTGCCGCTGCTGCGTCTGCTGCTATGCTACTCCCTAGCCTAGTCCCATCGCTGGTCAATGCAGTCAATGGGGTCAATGCTGTGGTCAGTGCCGTCTCGCCGTTGCTACTCCTCCCTCCCCAAGCCCCCTCCATCTCTCTCATTTTCAACCACACGGGATACTCGTAGAACAGGTACCCCTGTAACAGTGCAGCTGCTTGTAACGAGGATATTCTCCCTCCACTCTCCTCCTCCCAACAAGCCTCAAATCCTGGTTCAGCCTTTTCCTTCTGAGACATCTCACAGCCCTCAATTTCTTCGCCATTTCGCAAAATTTCACAACTATCCTGTTCACGCCAAGCTTGGGGGCCCATTCCTTCTGACCCGCCACCCTCCACTGTACCATAAATCCTCGTTATCAGCTGGGCGCCATGGCCCTGCTGCCCCAGCTGCAGCTGGCGGCTTAACCGGGCCTTGCGGTCGCGAAGGGACTCACCCACGTGGGGCCCCAGGTACTGGCCTAGGAGCCACTCAGGCTCAGGTGATTCCTCAGGTGGGGCTCCCTCAGGTGGGCCTCCCTCAGGTGGGACTTCAGACTCGCGAAGAGACTCCTGACCGCTGATGCTGCTGCTAATACAGCTGCTGCTGCTGCTGTTACTGCTGTCACTGCTGCTGCTACTACTGCTGCCACAGCCGCTCTGAGTGGGAGGCAAGCGGCGGGAGAAGATGGCCAGAGCATCGTCTCACGAGCCCACAAAAAGGAGAAACTTCACTGAAAGTTCCCAGTGGTGGAGCACAGGGGCGGCTGCAGCCACAGCTGCATCCCCACCAGCACTGGCAGCAGCTGCAGCAGAAGTAAAAGCAGCAGCATCAGCAGCAGCACCTGAGGCCACGTCAGCATCAGCAGCAGGAGATTGAATAGCAGTACTAGCAGTAACAGCAGCAGCAGCATTGGCACAACCAGTATCAACACCCGCAACAGCGGCTGAATCCCCACAGCAATCGTCAGCAGAAGCAGTCGCATCAAGCTCTCCCACTCCCCTGAACGATAAATCAGGCGATTTAGAACGAAGAGACGGGAGGAGAGGCGGACGAGGAGAGGTTGAGTGAGGAGGAGGGGGAAAGCGGTGTGGCAGTGTGAAGAGCACATCAAACTCCCCCACTGTCTGGATTCGTCCTTTTCTGTCCCTCGATTCACGCAGGAATCGCTTTCGGGCTCGCCTGCCCATCTGCCGCAGCTCCGGAAATTCCAGTTCCGGCCGAGCCGGAGCCAGCTCCAGGTTCGGTACACCAAGGCCCTCTAGGCTCGGTAAGTTCGCCTGGTCCGGACCCGGTTCTAATGATTTGGAGTGTGTCATGTTGAGTGTGGACGGTTCTGGTCCGGACAGAGGTTTGGGCAGAGGTTCGGAAGGGCTGCTGTCAGTAGTTGTGCTTGGTTCGGGGAAGATGAGGCGGGTAGGCTTTCCCCGAGCCTCTGAAACGTGGACCTGGACGGACGTTCGGAGATCCCGAGGCTTCAGGTTCGGGCCAAACGTGAGAACAAAGAGAATGCAAAGCGCATAGTGATCTCCCAATCGGGCGCTCTGCTTCTTCTCCCTGAACCATGCTGCCACGTGTCCTCCATCCAGTGACTCCAGCCACGCCACTAACGCATCTTGACCGTCCATCTCGTTACTGTCACACAAATTGGCACCCGACTGGTCGTTATAGTCGCAAGGGTTTGGTAAATTAGTGTACTGAGGATGGTGATCGGACGAGGTGGAGTAGGGGAGGGTGGTGGGCATTAGGAGGGACGAATTTCTGGCGAAGACGTGTGGGTCCACCACTGGTAACTGGCAGGGGGGAATGGTAAGGGGTGGGGGCGGGGGACGGGGGGAACAGGGGGGAGAGAGAAGAAGAGCTGTTGGCGAAGACGTGTGGGTCCCCCACTGGTAACAGGCGGAACCAGAGGGGGGAGAGAGGAAAAGAGGGGGGAGACGGGGGAAGAGGGAGGAGAGGGGGGAGAGGGGGGAAGAGGGAGGAGAGGGGGGAGAGGGGGGAAGAGGGAGGAGAGGGGGGAGAGGGGGGGAGGGGGGGGAGAAGGGGGAGATGGGGGAGAGGGAGGAGAGGGGGAGAAGAGAGGAAGAGTTGTGGGCCAACACGTGTGGGACCACCACTTGTCTCAGGCACAGCAAATGGCGGCTTGGTGCTGGCAAGGCGGCAGCTGCGGGAAGGGAGATTAGAAGGTGTGGAGGATACAAGGCCAAGGGAGCGTACTTGGTCGGAGGAGAGCAGTAACGGCGGGCAGAAGACGACAAAGGCGATGTCTCGAATGAGTCTGGCAAAGGGGAGAGGGCGGGAGCGGGGGGAAAAGAGGGGGAGGGGGGGGGAGGGGAGAGACGGCAAAAGGAGAAGGGGGGGGCAGAAGAAGGTGTGGGGGGAGAACAAGGGGTCGGCGAGGCGTGGAAAGCAGCTACCGGAGCTTATCAACGAATACCGAAACCGATGGTAGAATTCCGAACTTTGGTGCACGTTCCGTTGACTCGAATTCAGCAGACTCACTTATGCGGGAAGCGAAGCAGCTCCTGTTGAGTCAGAAAACCCCCAGCCTGTCGCACAGGTCTCATGTGCGACTGCCTTGCGACGGTATTGCCCGCCCTACCCGTCGCCATCCCTGCGACAGAAGCAGAAATGCTCCGGCTCGCGCCAGATGCGGAAGGAAATTGGGGAGGCCGCACGGCGGACGGCGGAAAGTGCTCGCGCGGAGAATGCTTCCGCGGAAAAGGCTCGCGCGGAAAGCGACTCCTGAAATTCGCATTGCCGAGAGAACAAGACAACAAGTTGGCTACCCGCATTCCAAGCGAGGATTGTTGCAAGAAGGATTGTACTAGGTCAGCAGACTCGAGCAGCCACATTTCAGCTGGCACTGTAAGAGATTGGAATCTGGTGGAATTGGAATCTCCGCTGTTAGCTGCTCTGTTATGCTTTGTTTCATCCAGAGTGATACAGACAATTCTGATGCTATCATTGAGTACATTTTTTTTTGCGGTGTACAGAAATCCAGGGTTGAATGGATCGTTGACTTTTGGAGAAAAGACTCGTCAACACCAGCCCAACCGACCACTCACCAGTTGCCAGTCTTCGTCCTGAACTGACTCGTCTTTGCAGCCACGTCACGAAATCCATTCCTTCGCCGCAGTTTACATTCAGCACCGGAAGAAACATTGGCCGTCGATCTCCACCGACAATGTTCTCGCCCTCGATTTCCGATGTCGCGTCGCAAATTGGCGTGCGCGACTTGGCAAGTGCAATTCTGTGGGAGGAAATTTCAGCAATGAGGGGAATGTGAGTGGAGGAGAACATAAATTCCAAATCCAGTTCCAGCCAACACAGCAGAAGCACAACACCATTCCGCACACACCTTCAGGACACTTCTTTCTAAAAGCCCTCTTCACTCCAGACGCTTGAACTTGGCTCCATTCTCCTATTTTCGGATTTGCAACCTAGTATCTCGAAACATGGGCATCAGGGATATTTTTTTCTTGCTGATGTTGGCTGCCATTTTTCAAAGCTCCGCTCTTGCCGCAGAGCGCGGGCGTGAGCTTCTCGCTCATCACGTGGGAGCTGTGAAGCCATCTCTTGGCAGCCTGTGGCGCGCAAGAGTGAACAGCAGGATCGCTGGCGCCTCCATTTCCACTGAATCAAGAAGCTCTGCTCCTGCTAGCGGTGCTAGTGGTAGCAGCAGCATCCGGCCCGGGAGCAATGCTGGAACTTCCAGCAAAGCAGCAGCAACTAGTACTGTACGAAGTGCTGCAGCTGCTAGTGGAGGAAATAGAACGCTTGAGAACAGGTCTGCAGCAGTGGTGAAGGCGAAAAATATCACAGTGGGAACAGGTCTTGGCAAGACCGTTGGAGCTACGAGCCGCACAGCATCCGCTTGTGATGTGTCGTCGCTTGCCGACTACACCTCCTCCGTTCAGCTCTCCTCCGAGTGAGTTGCATTTTAGATTTCTCCGCCTGAAAATATATGGTTACGTTCTGGTTATACCTCCCATGATTCACATTGGCATGCCCTTAAAAACCCCTGCACTTCACCCGTCTGAACTTTCATTCGATCCATTTCACTTTTACCCATTAGTATCATGACTCTGCTTATGTGTATCTTCTCCACCTGTTCCCCAGCCTAACCCTCCACTGGAAGGCTGCAAGTGCATCCAAAGTCAATCTAGCCCTGGAGGCAGCATCGGGCAGCACGGCAGCAGCGGGGTGGTTCTCCCTGGCATGGTCTGCAGACGGCCGCATGGCCCCCGCTGATGCTGTCATTGGGAACCTGCCTGGGGGCGCTGTGGCGGCTTATTACATGAGCGGCTATGAGCTCAGCAATGTGCAGCCTACAAGCACCTTCGATATTGGCAACGCGGTCCAGACTAAGTCAGCTTCAGGCGCAACTGTTATCGAGTATGTATCTTCTTTTCTTTTCTTTTTATTTCTTTTCATTTTTTCCTTCACTTTTCTGTTCTTTTTAGACATATCAATGGCTACACAGCCCTACAGCCATGTCCTAATGATGTGCCTGTGTGTACATGTCTCATGCCAGGTTCTCCCGCGTTACAGGCGATGGCTCCGTGCCAGTGAACGTTGGCGGCAGCAACACACTCATCTGGGCCTTCTCTCAAGGCGGCTCCCAGTCCCTCGGGTTCCACGGGGAGAACGAGTGAGTGAGCTGAGTTCTTTCTTCCATGCATCTCAAAAGCAGCAACACACTCATCTGGGCCTTCTCTCAAGGCGGCTCCCAGTCCCTCGGGTTCCACGGCGAGAACGAGTGAGTGAGCTGAGTTCTTTCTTCCATGCATCTCAAAAGCAGCAACACACTCATCTGGGCCTTCTCTCAAGGCGGCTCCCAGTCCCTCGGGTTCCACGGGGAGAACGAGTGAGTGAGCTGAGTTCTTTCTTCCATGCATCTCAAAAGCAGCAACACACTCATCTGGGACTTCTCTCAAGGCGGCTCCCAGTCCCTCGGGTTCCACGGGGAGAACGAGTGAGTGAGCTGAGTTCTTTCTTCCATGCATCTCAAAAGCAGCAACACACTCATCTGGGCCTTCTCTCAAGGCGGCTCCCAGACCCTCGGGTTCCACGGGGAGAACGAGTGAGTGAGCTGAGTTCTTTCTTCCATGCATCTCAAAAGCAGCAACACACTCATCTGGGCCTTCTCTCAAGGCGGCTCCCAGACCCTCGGGTTCCACGGCGAGAACGAGTGAGTTACATCCCTGCCGCCCCATCGCACACATATTTTCTTCTTCTTCTTTTGTGTATGAAATATCTCATCAGCAGTGCATGGACGACTCATATCCCACCCTCTCTGGCTCTACCTCTGTGTCCTCCTTTGCTGCTCCCTTCATGCCCCTTACATGCCCATACCACCCTCTTATTGCAGCGGAGAGACCACAGTTGACTTCTCCTGTGACGGCTCCTCCTCCTCCGCTCCCCCCTCCACCTCCCCACCTTCCTCCCCTGCACCCCCCTCCACCTCCCCACCTTCCTCCCCTGCACCCCCCTCCCCTTCCCCTCCCTCAACCTCCCCTCCCTCCTCCTCCTCCTCCTGTGCCGCCTCCACCATCACTGGATACACCTACTCTGCACCCCTTGACTCCTCTCTCACCCTCCACTGGCACACAGCCAGCGCCACCAAAGTTAACCTAGCCCTAGAGGCAGCAGCGGGCAGCACGGCAGCAGCGGGGTGGTTCGCCCTGGCATGGTCTGCAGACGGCCGTATGGCCCCCGCTGATGCGGTGATTGGGAACCTGCCTGGGGGCGCTGTGAAGGGTTATTATATGGCCGGGTATGGGCTGGGCGATGTGCAGCCTACAAGCGGCTTCAGTATTGGGACTGGTGCGGCATTGACTACTGCTGCTAGTGGCTCCAAAGTCATGAAGTGAGTTTTTTTTTTTTTTTTTTTTTTTTTTTTTTTTTTTTTGCGTTGTGAAGCTTCTCTACCATTTTCTAGGAACTTGTACAACTTTTGGTTCAATCCTTCGCATATCATACACCTCAATACGATTGTGCGTCGAGATTTTACCCCGATGCCGATCTTACTCCGACGCCCTTGTCATGGCGCCGCACTGGCAGGTTCTCTCGCACTCAGGGAGACGGCTCCATCCCAGTCAACGTGAACGGCTCCAACACACTCATCTGGGCATACTCCCAAGGAGGCTCGCAGACCCTCGGATTCCATGGAGAGAATGAGTGAGTAAATATGCACTTTTAATCAGTTGAAAGACAAACGCGCAGTTTTGTTGACATTTTTATCAACTGTTTCGGATAATGGCTTGTGCGCACTCTTGGATAGAAATGGGATACCTGATGGCATCCCCTTCTTTTCTCCCCAAACCCTTTCCAACCCCAACCGTTCTCCAATTCTTGCTGCAGTGGTGAGCTCACATTGGACTTCTCTTGCACTACCTCATCCACTGGTGGTGGCATCGGTGGTGGCATTGGTGGCGGTGACAACAACGGAGGTGGCTTTGGAGAGGGGCACCATGGGCATGGCCATGGGCACGGGGGTGGCGATGGGGATGGCGATGGGGATGGCGATAGGGATGGCGATAGGGATGGCGATAGGGATGGCGATGGGCGTGGGGGGCTTGGAGAGCGTGGGGGTCCGGGAGGTCTTGGGGGTCATGGCCATGGTGGTGGGGTTGGAGGGGGTGTGGTGGGGAACTCGACTGGTGGTGGGTGGGGTGGCAGTGGTTTGGGCGGTTGGTGGAACTGGTTGGGCCGGTGGTAGATTACGAACACGTACCAATGAGGACCATGTGCATGGCCATGGCTTTTGAGGCGCCTCAAAAGTTGGGTCGGTGGTAGTTAACGGACACGTATGAATGAGAATCATGCGCATGGCCATGGAGGGAATAGGAGGCATTGGGGGACCAATTTGTGGATGACGAATTTGGCACGTGAAGGAAGCTCGAGGTGGGACTGATGAGATTGTTGCGACTTATGTTTTCGATTGCATAGAGGATGTGATGGAGTGTGGAGGATGTAGCCCCTCTGTTAGCAATATAAAGGCATCGGTTCTCATTGGCGTTATTCTACCATCGTTTTGCCAGTTTGGATGCAATGCTTCTAAACCCTGAAACAATCATTACTGTATAGCACTTCAAGGAAAATTGGTATACACAATTATAACGAGACCCCGTTCTTCTCTATACAGGAGTCCGGGTTGGCTGCTGCCTCTCCAGAAATCGTCGTTCGGTAATCTTTGTTCTCAAGCGCTAGACGATAGACTCGGTATCGCTGGCGATATGTCGGTCCACGCCCATCGCTGTCGCACAAGCGTCGCACGGCTCCTCTTGTCGCACATTGCTCCTCCGCGGTCCACCCTTCCGCCCTCCGCGCTCGTCGCCCCTTCCGCGCAACTCGCGCCAGCTCCGCCACACTCCCGGCAACCACCACATGCGTTGAGTCGGCACAACTCTGCACCGCACTCTGCCGCTTGCAATCCCGCAGCACCGCTCGCCCTCGTGCCGCAATCCACGGCGCAGTCTGCGCAACCCTCGTGTCTCCGTCGAGATCCGTCACGCGCAGCCACGTGGCAGGAGCAAAGCCCCTATTGGCGGAGAGATTCCGCAGTAGCCGCGATCGCATCTCGAATCTCCGATTTGCGCGCGATCCTGCTTCTTGCACGCCCCGCGTGGCCTGTTTTCCCGCCTCTAGCCACTCAAAACGCGCCGCGGTTTTTCCCATTAGTAGAATTCGCAGCGCGCCAGCATTTGTATTCGACGCTTAAATCGCCGGAAAATGCGGAAGGGCCTCGTATGGAGGCGGAGGGGCCGTTTGGGAACGTGGGGAACGAAGATTCGAAGAAGGTTCCAGGCGCGGACCAGAGAGGGGGATTCGGGTCAAGTGAAAAGGATCGGGGAAAGGGAGGGGGAGTAGAGGAGCAGGCGTGTGAAAGCGGTGGAGCGCGGTTGAGAGGGGTGGGGGAGGAGGAGAGAGCGGTGGGAAGAGATGGGGGAAGGGAGCAGCGGATCGTAGTGTACCGGGGGAGGTGGATGCGGGGGCTGAGGCTGATGGTGAGGTGAGTGCGGTGGAGAGCGGTTGTGTAGGGTGGGTATGCGAACAATTATCTTCTCATGGTTTGTGATGCTAAGAAAGCGTCTCCCCTCTTCGCCGTTGCAGCTGTGTGCTACATGCTGCAGGCTACATGCTGCAGGCTACATGCTGCAGGCTACATGCTGCAGGCTACATGCTGCAGGCTACATACATGCTGCAGGCTACATGCTGCAGGCTACATACATACTGCAGGCTACATACATGCTGCAGGCTACATACATGCTGCAGGCTACATACATGCTGCAGGCTCAAGGTGGCTCAGTTGGTGGGAGCGGCGTGACGCTTCGTCTTGACGCGCCTTAAACACCGTCCCTGTCCTCGCTGCCCTCTCTGCCCTGCTGCTGCTGCATGTTGCATGCTGCATACTCAAGGTGTTTTGAGACGTCTCAAAACACCGTCCCTGTCCTCGCTGCCCTCTCTGCCCTGCTGCTGCTGCATGTTTCATGCTGCATACTGCAGACTCAAGGTGGCTCAGCTGGTGGGAGTGGCGTCTCTGGCCGTGCCCATAGCTGCGTGGACGCAAGGGGTGAGACGGCGGGGTTGAGGGGGAGAGGAGAGACAGCAGCAGTAGATGGAAAGCGAGAGTGGGAGCGAGCGGGAGCGGGATAGGGATAGTGGGTGGCTCAGCTGGTGGGGGTGGCGTCTCTGGCTGTGCCCATAGCTGCGTGGATCCCCCGTGCCTTCCACCACCCCCCATGCCCCTCACCACCCGCCATGCCCCTCACCACCCCCCATGCCCCTCACCACCCGCCATGCCCCTCACCACCCGCCATGCCCCTCACCACCCGCCATGCCCCTCACCACCCCCCATGCCCCTCACCACCCGCCATGCCCCTCACCACCCGCCATGCCCCTCACCACCCGCCATGCCGACTCCTGTGGTCGCCTCATGCCCCTCGCCGCTCATCAGGCCTCCCTCCCCTGGGGAACGAGCGTGGCAGTGGCAGCAGTGGTGGGGGGAGCAGCAGCAGCGTCATCCACCTACCTGTGGTTCTACTCCTCCCAATACGTGTTTCCCCCGTCCCTCTCACCAAACCCCATGCCTTTCACGCTCATCAGGCCTCTCTCCCATTGGGAACGAGCGTGGCAGTGGCAGCAGTGCTGGGAGGAGCAGCAGCAGCGTCTGCGTGCCTGTGGTTCTACTCCTCGCGAATCGTGTTCCCTCTGTCCCTCTCACAAACCCCCATGCCCTTCACCGGCCATCAGGCCTCACTTCCGCTGGGAACGAGCGTGGCAGTGGCGGCGGTGGTGGGAGGGGCAGCAGCAGCGTCTGCGTGCCTCTGGTTCTACTCCTCATGATACCCCCGTTCCTCTCACCACCCCCCCATGCCTCTCACCACCCATCAGGCTTCTCTTCCTCTGGGAACGAGCGTGGCAGTGGCGGCGGTGGTGGGGGGAGCAGCAGCAGCGTCCGCCTGCATCTGGTTCTACTCCTCGCGATACGTGTTCCCTCCGTCCCTCTCACCACCCCGCATGCCCCTCACCGCTCATGAGCCCCCTCATCCTATGGCAACAAGTGTGACAGTGGCTTTTGAGGCCCCTCAAGGCTGGTTCTGTTTCCCCATCCCCCTCGCCGCCTCTCACTGCCCATCAGGCCTCACTCCCTCTGGGAACAAGCGTGGCAGTGGCAGCAGTGGTTGGGTGGGGGGAGCAGCAGCAGCGTCTGCGTGCCTCTTCCGGTTCTACTCCTCGCGATAAGTGTTCCCTCCGCCCCTCTCACCACTCCTCATGCCTTTCACTCCCATCAGACCTCTCTTCCGCTGGGAACAAGCCTGGCAGTGGCAGCAGTGGTGGGGGGAGCAGCAGCAGCGTCCGCCTGCCTGTGGTTCTACTCCTCGCGATACGTGGGGGAGCTTGCACTGATCGAGGCACCTGCTGCCGCTGCTGATGCTGGTGCTGCCAGTGGTGGTGCTTTTGATAAGGATGGGGGGCAGTGGTGTGTGTGTATCAGCACACTTGACTTCTGGGGCAACCGAGAGGTGAGCGAGCGGGTGGGATGTATGATAGCGTCCGCTTGCCTCTGGTCTTCTACTCCTCGCGATTTGTGGGGGAGCTGGCACCCCAGAGGGGGGCAGTAACAGCTGGTGGGGATGGGGATGGGGGGCAGTGGTGTGTGTGAGTGGGAGTGAGGGGGTGATTGAGAGAGTGTGTGTGATGCAGGTGACTTGTTGTCTCCTGTATGTCTTCCTTTGTTTGCATCGCCCTCCCATGCATGCATCTTGTTTTCTCCTTGCTCACCGTCTCTCCCTTGGGTCACCATCTCTCCTCCCCTCCCCATGCCCCCTGCCCCACTTGCTCCACTTGCCCACAACCATGACTGACTGCCAACCTTGACTGTCCATTCGTGGCTGCCCAATTGTGGTCGTCCAATCGTGGTCGCCCAATCGTGGCCGTCCAATCGTGGCCGTCCAATCGTGGTCGCCCAATCGTGGCCGTCCTTCAGAACCTCATTCTGCCTCTCAGGTAACTCCTCAGGCTCAACATTTCTCACTCCTTAGCGGTCGTTGCCCCCACCTGCCCCCCACCAGCCAGCCTGCCACCAGCACCCATCCTACACCATCGTGCTGCTCCTCACCTTCCTCCCTACATCCCTTGCCACCCCCCTCCCGTCGCCCCTACCAGTGCCCTGGTGCCGCCACTCAAGGGTCTGTCCCAGCAGCACCTAAAGGCCATTGCACACCACAGCTTCGTGCCGCTAGATGGTGAGTGGCAGGAGAAGGGATGGCAATGGTTAGTACATAACATTGTTCCTTTTCTGTGGTCGTCCCTTACACCCCCTCAGCTCCTTGCTCAATGCCTATCCTCTCTCCCTCTCCTGCTGCTATGTGACGTACTCAAAACCCATACCCCCTCTCTCTTTTTCATCCTCCCCACTCCTCCCCCCCACCACCTTTGTTCTGCAACCCACCCAACCCCCCCCCCCCGCCTCTTGCCCCAGTGCCCTCCCGTCGGCAGTTCCTTATGAGCATAAGGCACGGCCGCATCCCCAACCTCCCACCGCTGCCAATTTGCCGTGTTTCAAAACCCACCCTCCCCTGTTTCCCGCACCCCTCCTCCCTTTTCCCTCTTCCTACACCCCTCCCCTTGCCCCCATTCCTCGTCGTGTTCCAGTGCCCTCCTACCGGCAGTTCCTGGTGAGCATAAGGCACGGCCGCATCCCCAACCTACCGTTGCTGCTGCTGCAGTTTTGCAATCTCTCAAAAAACTGTTAACCCCTCATCCCTCTCCCCCACAAACCCCCCCATTCCAGTGCCCTCCCACCGGCAGTTCCTGGTGAGCATAAGGCACGGCCGCATCCCCAACCTCCCTCTGCTGCTCGCACTGCTCAAGGGCGAGGGAGACTGGGAGAGGGAGCTTCACTGCTAGCTGGCGCACCGCTAGCTGCTGCCCTTCCTTCTGCTGCTATCATCCCTCGTCTGCTGCTGCTGCTGGCACTGCTCAAGGGCGAGGGAGACCAGGAGAGGGAGCTACAGCGATAACTGCTGTGCTTCACTTGCTCACTCACTCAATCACTCACTCACTCACTCACTCACTCGCTCACTCACTCACTCACTCGCTCGCTCACTCATTTGAGGAGATCCGGAGGCTGTGACTCGCGTCGGGTTTCCAACAGTCCGCTCCGCACCCACTAACTCCCGTCAGCAGTTGTCAGTTACCGTACTTGCATGGTACATTGCAGAGGCTTAGTTGGTGCTGCTACTTTTTAATATTTTCAGAAGCAACACTAAGGATACGTTCTTGGTTCTTAGCTGGTGTCTAGAATCCTGACACGAAGCTGTGAAGGGTTGAGATTTTGGTAGATTTTGACGATGATGACGTGGAACGATCTAAATCGTCCAATTGCCTTGTGTCAGCGAGCCTGTGTCAGCCTGACACCAGCCAAGAACGTACCCTAACTTCCCTCCGCTGTAGTTTCCATAAATGCATTGCAGCGGCAGGTGTTACGAGTGCAATTGAGTGAGCGAGCGAGGATTGCACTATCGAAGCAAGAGTACAATGAGCGAAGGCATGAGCGAAGATGTAGCGAAATTACAGTGGTAACGGTAATGGACTGTGGTTGTCGCGCGACGGGCCTGGGACTGAGGTTGGGGAAAATGTCAAAGCGGAGGCCCGGAGCGCGGGTTACCCGCCGAGCCGTGAGGTCGGGGTGCGACGTGCGAAGGTGGCGGGAGGATTGTCGATGCGAGGGTTGCGATTGGTAACGGTGCTGACTGTGGTGCTACAGTGGTGTACGCGCTGAGCGGGGACGCGAAGTAAGGAAAAGAAATTTTCCTTACACTACCCCCCCCCCTAAGGAGGTCCTCCTTACGAAAGCGCGTGTACATCCCTGAAGTTTCGGCTGCGCAGATACTCGGTGAGGACGGGGTGGTTTTCGATTCTGTCCAGGGGAACCCAGTTGTCTTCGGTGGGTGTACGGTCTTTCCAGCGGGTCAGGAACTCGATCCTTCGGGCTCCTCGAGGGTCACGAACTCTGTGGCTCAGAATTTTCTCGGGGGTGATGATTGGTTCAGTCGGCGGTCGTGTCATGCTGGCTGGGCGATTACGTGGCAGTTGGCTCGTGGACGGGACGTAAGGGCGAAGCAGGCTGACGTGGAATGAGGGGCTGACGTACCAGTCAGCGGGGAGGAGGAGGTGGGCGGTGACAGGCGTAATCATGTGGCTTATGCGAAATGGCCCGCAGTATCGGGGGCAGAGTTTTGGGGTGATGGGCAGTCGGAGGTTCTGAGTGTCGAGTAAAACTAGGTCGTCAGGTTGGTAAGTGACAGGTCGGCGGTGGCGGTCGGCATTACGTTTAGCGATGATGTTGGATTTTTTTATTGCGTCTGCTGCCCGGGTCCGTGCTGCTTGTAATACTTCGGCGAACTGTTGTGCTCGTGGCACTGGGTTGTCGGGATTCGGGGTCATGGGTACTGTCGGGTCTTGTCCGTAGTTCAGGTAAAATGGTGACTGTTGGGTCGTGGCGGACGGTGAGTTGTTGTATGCGAATTCAATGAGTGGCAGCTGTTGTTCCAAGGTGGTTGGGTCGTCGCACGTGGCTCGGATGAGTTGCTCCATGGTCTGGTTTGTCCGTTCTGTCTGTCCGTCGGTTTCGGGGTGGTACGAAGAACTGAACTGTAGTCGCGTGCCGAACTGCTGCCACAGGTTCCGCCAGAAGTTGCTGGTGAATTTAGTGTTGCGGTCGCTGATGATCGCTGATGGTATCCCGCGCAGTCGAACGATGGTGGAGATGAAGAGTCGAGCTGTTTCTTCGGCTGTGATCGATTTTTTGCAGGCTGCGAAATATGCCATTTTCGTCAGTCGATCGACGATGACCAGGATCGCGTCGTTCCCACTCGCCCCGGCCGGTAACCCCGTGACGAAGTCCATCGTCACCTGCTGCCAAGCACGCTCTGGGGGTGGTATCGGCTGCAACTGTCCTGCCGGCCGCTGCCGTGATGATTTCATGAGCTGGCAAGTGGGACACGATGCCACGTGTCGTTGTACGTCGGTCAACATTTCGGGCCAGTAATAATACCGCCGCAACTGCTGCCGTGTTTTCTCTACCCCGAAGTGCCCCGAGGTAACTCCGTCGTGTGCCTCCTGTAACAGTAATTCTCGTAGCAGTGTATACCCAGGCACCCAGATGCGGCTGGTCCCGGCTTTTACGTAATAGACTCCCTTTGCTGCTGCGAACTGCTGCAAATTTCCTCCCGTGAAGAATGGATCCGTTTGGTACCCGTGGGTAAATAGGCCTGTCAGTAGTGGGCTTGTCTGGGCGAGTAGTATTGCATGGATCTGGGCAGTGGGGCGGGTCAGTGCGTCGGCGATGTTCGAGGCTCCCTTTTTGTAGGTGACCGTGTAGTGAAAGTTGGACTCGAGAAAGTCGAGCCAGCGAATCTGTCGTGGGTTGAGGTGTGGCTGTGCGCGGAGGTACTGTAGTGATTTATGGTCTGTCCGTACTGTCACGTCTGCGCCGGTCAAGTAGCAGCGCCACACTTTGAACGCGTGCACGATCGCAAGCATTTCGCGGTCGTGTATCGGGTATTTTTTCTCGGGCGGATGCAGTTTTCGTGAATCGTATGCGATGGGCTGTAGGCCGTTGCCGAAGTCCTGTAGCAGTATGGCTCCGATGGCGATGTCGCTTGCATCGGTAACTACTTCGAATGGGCGGTGTGGGTCGGCGATGCGCAGGACGGGCGGTGAACAGAGAACAGTTTTCAGGGCAGAGAAGGCAGCATGCTCTTTCTCCCCCCACGTAAAAGCGACCCCCTTTCGTAACAAGTCCGTCCGCGGTGCAGTTAACCGTGCCATGTCGGGGACGAACCGACGCACGTAATTGACGAAACCCAAAAAGCTCTGTAGTTCCGTGATATTTGTCGGGGGGTGCCAGGCTTTGACCGTGTCTAACTTCTTCGGGTCAATTTCGACCCCGGCCTCCGAAATAGTGTGTCCCAAAAATTCTAGCCTATCCTGAAAAAACTCGCACTTGGTGTGAAAGAATGAGGAATGTGATGCACTAGGAAACAGATGGGTACAAGTAGGAAAACCTAAAAGTGTTGTACCCCATATTGTCTACCCCACTACAGCCTACACAGACTATAGCATATAAGTCTGACACACCCCCATAGGCAAAGTGGGGGAGAACAAGGGGTCACAAGACCAGTCAAGCAAAGCAAAGCAAGCTCAGGGTGGATCACAACGTCACCACACAATCCGAGCACAAGATCAAGGCCACAAGGCCAGTTCACATGCAAGATCATATAGAAAGGTAAACAAGCAAGTGCAGGTATAAATAGATCACAGTACAAGCAAGGTCAAGAAGTGAGCAAGTGAGGCCAAGTAGGCACTAGACCTAGCATCGTACAAAAGCGCTGATGATCACAAGGCTGAAGTGCCTTGGTAAAGATATCAGCAGTGTTGGCCTGAGAGGCCACGTAAGCAAGGCGCAGCTGACCACGCTGCTGCAGCTCACGAGCAAGGAAGTAGCGAAGAGCAATGTGCTTCGTTCTGTGCTCCAGTCTGTGCTCCCGACACAAGGCCAGCATGGCCTTGTTGTCTACGTACAGAACTGGAGGAGAACGAGGCGGCTTTCCCAGGTCGGTCAGCAGGTAGGTGAGCCAGCGTAACTCCTGTGCAGCCATGGCCCCTGCGTAGATCTCGGCCTCACAGCTGGAGCCGAGAACAGAAGACGAGCGGGTAGACCGCCACGAAACAGAGCCGGAACCAAGGCTGAAGGTGTAACCCTGTGACGACCGCTGCGTAGCCTGGTCGTCAGCCCAAGAAGCGTCTGCGTGACCTGTGAGGACCACTGAACGCCGCCCTCCAAGCACTAGCCCCATGCCCGACGTACTGCACAAGTAGCGCAACACCCTCTTCGCTGCAGCCATGTGCTCTGGTCGGTGTCTCCCAGGAGCAACATAGCGTGCCAGGATGCTAAGAGGGTATGCAAGGTCAGGTCGTGTGCAGGTCATCAGGTACATGAGGCAGCCAACAAGCTCTGGGTACGGGCCACTCGGCTCTACGGACTCATCCGAAGGCAGAGCTGAGAGCGAGTGGCGAGTAGACAGAGGAGTGGCCTGAGGCGAGGAGTACGTGAAGTCGAAGCGCTGAAGGACCTGCTGCACCATGTGTGACTGAGTCAGGGTGATGGTGCGCTGTGCTCTGTCCCGGGTGATCTGCAAGCCAAGGTAGCTGCGCAGTTCACCCAGGTCTGTGCACGTGTGTCTCTTCTGCAGCTCGGACTTCACGTGGGCGAGTCCAGCAGTGTCAGCAGTGGCAAAGACCAAGTCGTCGACGTACACGAGGATGTAGAACGGCGGCAAAGAGGTGTCGGTGCGCAGAAACAGCGACGGGTCGGCAGTAGAAGGAGCAAACCCAAGAGCCGCAAGCGTAGTCCTCAGGGTGCCGTGCCACTCACGGGGCGCCTGGCGGAGACCGTAGACTGGCCGCCGGAGGCTCCACTGGGTACCAGGAGGAAACGACCCAGTGAAGCCAGGTGGGCGGCGCAGCCAGATCTCCTCGTGCAGGCTGCCCTGCAAGAAAGCTGTGCTGAAGTCAAGAGAGTGAAGCTCGTAGTCACGCTGAGCGGCTATGTGCAGCAGCACCCAAAGAGTGGTCATCTTCGGGGTGGGAGAGAAGGTCTGAAAGTAGTCAACTCCCTGCCGCTGACTGAAGCCTCGAGCCACGTAACGCGCCTTGAAGACAGGTGGAGAACCTGGCGGCCGCTTCACCCTGAAGATCCACATGCCACTGACGATGTTCGCCCCAGGTGGGGGAACCTCGTCGACGTAGGTGCCTGTGGACTTCCAGGAAGCCATCTCTGCGTCCATGGCTGTCTGCCACTGTGAGGAGTAGGGACCCTCGATCGCCTCAGCGTACGATCGAGG